CAGCAGCAGCCGCAGCAGCCGCAGCAGCAGCAGCTGCCGTCTCCTCCTCCTGTCTCGGGTCTTCGGACCCTTGGTCTCCCCTCTCCCTCTCCTTCCTCCTCCCCCTCTCCTCCCGTCTCTGGTCCTCCGCTTCCTCCTCCTGACCCCTCTCCCGCTGTTTTCCCTCGTTCTCAGTCTTCGTTGTCTCCTCCTCCTTCTCAGACTTGGGCCTCTCGTCGCTCCCCTCGTGCTCGTCCCTCGTCTCCTGTTCCCTTCACTGACCTTCGTACAGCCTTCCTTTGTTCTCGTCCACCTCGTCCGTCTCCGTCTGTGCTTCCGTCTCCTCCTGAGTCGGCCCTCACTGTGTCGCTTCCTTCTCCTGTCACTGACTACTACCGCACGTACCGTCCTGTTCTCTCTCGTGTTCTCGCCTCTCTTGTTACCCACCCTCGTGCCTCTGTGTCCTCTGTGTCCGCTCTTACTGCCGCAGTCACTGAGTTTGCCTCTACCCGCCGCCTTGACTTCGCCACCGCTCTTGTGGCTGCTCCTCCTTCCAGTCCTCTGGCCGTCGGGGGTGTGTCTGCCCTTGGCTGTGACGCCCTAGAGGACAGGCAGTTTGAGCTAGAGTTCCTGGCGGCCGCTTCCCCTCATCTCTGTGCCATGCTCCTCGCCCCTGAGGGTGACCCCGACGCCCTTGACATTCCGACTCCTCGCACTTACGCTGAGGCAGTGTCAGGGCCTTGGGCCTCTCAGTGGAGAGCTGCCATGGACGCAGAGATGGCCTTCTACAGATCCACAGGCACCTACGTCGATGAGGTTCCCCCTCCGGGGGCGAACGTAGTCGACGGCATGTGGATCTACAGGGTGAAGCGGCCACCGGGATCTCCTCCGGTCTTCAAGGCGCGCTACGTGGCTAGAGGTTTCAGTCAGCGTGAGGGAGTTGACTTCTTTCAGACCTTCGCGCCCACCCCGAAGATGACCACTCTTCGGGTGTTACTACACGTAGCAGCACAGAGAGACTACGAGTTACACTCTCTCGACTTCTCTACTGCTTTCCTTCAGGGCAGTCTTCACGAGGAGGTCTGGTTGCGTCGTCCCTCTGCCTTCACTGGCTCTTTCCCTCCTGGGACCCAGTGGAGGCTGAGGCGACCGGTTTACGGACTTCGTCAGGCTCCTCGTGAGTGGCACGACACCCTGCGTTCTACCCTGTCTGACCTTGGGTTCCAGCCGTCTTCTGCTGACCCGTCGCTGTTCGTTCGTCGTGGCCCCACACCTTTCTTTGTTCTGGTCTACGTTGACGACCTTGTTTTCGCCACCCCTGACAGGGTTGCTTTGGCACACGTGAAGTCCGAACTGCAGAAGAGACACACCTGCACTGATCTTGGTGAGCTGCGCCACTACCTTGGCCTGCAGATCACCAGGGACAGAGCTGCTCGCACCATTACACTTTCACAGTCGCACATGGTGCAGCAGGTCCTTCAGCGGTTCGGGCTTCAGCACTCCACAGTACAGCGCACACCTCTTGCTGTTGACCACAGACTCACTGGACCCTTTCCTGACGAGCCGTTCGAGCCTAGTGGTCCCTACGCTGAGCTTGTGGGTTGCCTCATGTACCTGATGACTTGTACTCGCCCGGACCTCGCCTTCCCTCTCAGCGTTCTTGCGCGCTTTGTTGCGCCAGGGAGACACCGTCCTGTTCACTGGACAGCAGCTGTGAGGGTGGCGAAGTACCTAGCGACGACGTCAGGCGTGGGGCTAGTTCTTGGAGGGCAGCAGTCTGTCGTACTTACTGGTCACTGTGACTCCTCTTACGCTGACGACGCTGAGACTCACAGGTCTACTCAGGGGTACTGTTTCAGCCTGGGTTCTGGAGCTGTTTCCTGGCGGTCCACGCGCTCCTCTTCGGTCTCGACCTCTACAGCTGAGGCTGAGATCTACGCTGGTGCCATGGCGGCACAGGAGCTGCGTTGGTTGACCTTCTTGCTCACCGACCTTGGTGAGCGGCCGAGCTCTGCACCGACCTTGTTCACTGACAACAAGGCGTCTATTCTCCTTTGTCGAGAGCCACGACTGGAGAGCAGAGTGAAGCACATTCACGTCAGGTACTTTCTTCTGCGAGAGTTGCAGAGGCGTGGACAGGCTCGCTTTGAGTTTGTGGAGTCCGAGGCCAACACTGCAGACATCTTCACCAAGGCGCTTCCGCCTTGTGACCACCAGAGGTGCTGTGTGCAGTTAGGCCTTGTTGACACTGGTTCTCGTGTTGCTTAGACTTGAGTGTACTGTTTACTTTGCTTTCTATATACCTCTGTTACTTCTTGGACTGGCCTTGTGGCCACTGTTGTTTGTGCTCAGACTGTGTGGTGACGTTGTGATCCACCCTGAGCTTCGTTTCTTGGACTGGTCTTGTGACCGTACTCGTTTGGTTCTGCTAGACACCCCTCACTTAGGCTATGGGGGTGTGTCAAATGTTGTAGCCTATAGTGAGGTTTGTCTTAGGGGGTACAAAACTTAGGGTTAGCTATATGTACCCCAACCAACATCAATGCATCATCCATTCCTCATTTTGACAGTCGGTGAGTCGCTCTGCTCTTCGTTTTTTTTTTTTTTTTTTTTTTTTTTTTTTACCTAATCCACCGTGGTTTGTATGCAGGTCCCACACGAAGGGTCCTCACCTCAACGTGGTGTGTGGGTGTAACACTAGGGGTTAACCCCCCTGGTGGCCAATAGGGGCCCAGAAGACCGAAGACCGTGGCGCACTCTATTATTGCCAAATGATTTTACGGTAGATTTATATTTTAGATTATAATTGCCTAAATAGTGATGGTAGCTCTAGTTAGGTCATTAATCAGACAACTAGGTCTCAGCATGGACGATCGAACGTACCGTAGGTAAACTAGGGAAGCACACACCAGGGAAGCACATGCTGCAGTGTCACATAAGGTACCGTATAAACCGGACATTAAGGAGTTGTAGCTTTACAGTATGGGGGGACCTTCAACATTATGTATATTTTTAAAAGCTGTAATGCTTTTTAAAATTATGTATTTCGAAAGCGAAGCTGCCTGTAATGTAGGATTTGGCAGCGTCGAGCCGCGCTAAACGCCCGTTTTGGAGTACAAAACGTGGGCTGGAGGTCATTTCCCTCCACCCACGTCTCTCATTTTCAAACGGTTTAGCCGATTTGAAGTCTCAATTTTCACTCTCGATTTTCGTCTCCCTTTCCAAGCTGGCGAAGTTGAAGTCTCTTCCCCGTTTTCAATCTCCGTCAACTTTACTCTCGGACATCCTCGCACACAACGCATCAGCTATGGCACTTAACGGCGGCGAGGTTAATACCACTACCGCCCCCTCTCGACCCGAGTCCGGAAGAAACGCTCGCGAAATCGCGGGCGATCGCCCGAACAAGCGCCGGGCAGACGACGGGGAAAATTCCCCGACTGGCGTCGACGTCCTGCTCGGCCCGACCGAGGCACACGCCACGGGCGTCGAGGCACGCGCCCCTGGTGTGCCTCGAGCCCCTGTGGCCCCTGACGCGCCGGCCACGACAGAAGGCGCCAAATCGGCGCCAACCAGCACAGCCGGCACCCCGCGTCCGCGTCAGCGCCGCAGGCCCGCGGGCCCTGACGCGCCTGTGGGCCCTGACGCGCCTGTGGCGCCTGACGCGCAAGTGGCGAAGGGTGCCCAAGTGGCGCCAACTTTTTCTGCAGCCCAACTGCAGCAGCTTCTGTCCCTGTTACAGCAGCACGCCCCTGCTGTTACTGAAGAAATTGCTACACCGAACGCGACTTCCGTTTCTGCTAAAAGCGAAAAGGCGAAAACGGAGCCTGTCAAGCGCGCTCGCACGACAAAAACCGGAAGGGGCGAAGACACACGCGCCGCCGCCACTCCAGTCACGAACAACCCTATCGACAGCGACAACGAAGACGACGACGATGGTGAGGCACATGCCGTAAATGCCTCTTTCGCACCCGTTGAGCAACTCCCCCCACTCCCCTCACCCAATCCCACTCTAACCGCCGCCTCGTTCAAGAACGCTGCCGTGCGCGAGCAAGCCGAGGTCCTGGAACACCTGCGGGCGTACCTGAAGCATGCGGAGCACAAAGTGCGACACAATGAGCCGGAAAGCGCCCTCGAATACCTTGGCGAAGCCTTCACACTCATCAACAACCGCTTCAAGCTACTTCATGTCACCGACTACACCAACTTCCGCACCGCAAATCGCTTCAAGCTCTACGAAGATAAGAGTGTCTTCACCTCACGTCCGTTCAAGCAGGCCGTCGCGGACGTGGCGGCCATGGAGCGCGCCCAAGGCAATTTCACTCGCACTCCACGTGGCGGAGGGCGCGGGCCCATGGCATTTGGCAACAAGCGCGGTCCCCCACTTGATGGCAATGGCAGGAGCTTTCGTGGCTCATGCTTCCGTTGTGGGCAGCCGGGCCACATGGCCAATGCTTGCCCGGAAAATGGGGGAGGAGCCCAAGGGCCGGCGCCGGTGGTGTGAACACCCTAGGGGGTGGTGCCGAGAGGCTCGAGTGAGGGTGATGGCACTAGGAAGTGCGAGGCCGCTGGCCTATCCCATAGGGGATGTGAGAAAGGCCGCGGGCCTACCCCAAGGCAAGGGGTGTAGGACTAGGAGTCCTAGGTGAACATGGGATTGGAAATAATGCTTGTATGCTCTTATGAATGAGTGGAAAGGCCTAATGGGCGAAGTTGTTGGACTTGCTTGAAAAAAAAAAAAAAAAAAAAAAAGGGGAGCATGCGCTCTTGATGTATGGACCTGAAACAATAAATACCCGCATGGCATGGTGGCCTACGGTACACGCGAACTAGAGAGCGAGAGAAGGAGAGAGATAGAGAGTGTATAAAAGGGAAAGTGATAAGATGTTTGGGCTATGCACCCATACAATACAAAGGAATCATGTGCGAAGGGGGGGCAAAAGGAAACGAGATTGTGTGGGACTTGGGGTCCCACAATACCACGGGCTCACGCCATAATGCAAGACAAAGGTGGCCTGCCAATCATGGAAGGCGGCAAATGCCCATTCAAAGAGTACGCGAAAAAAAAAAAAAAAAAAAAAGGAGAGAGAGAGAGAGAGAGAGAGAGAGAGAGAGAGAGAGAGAGAGAGAGAGAGAGAGAGGAGAGAAAGAGAGAGATTGAGAGAGAGAGAGAGAGAGAGAGAGAGAGAGAGAGAGAGAGAGAGAGAGAGAGAGAGAGAGAGAGAGAACGCCTTGCTCAAAGACTAAGGCCAGATTCACCGAGTCCGGTGGCAAGTATCACCACTCTCACGCGATTGGTCCAAATATTCACTCGGTTTTTGCCAGGATTGGCTTCCGAGCTTCCAACCAAACCTACTGCCTGGGCTTTTGTCTGAACCTACCATTCCCGGTCGACTTCCTTGTGTAATTTGGGTCTTGAGTTTAACGAGGCATGCCCCGTGTTGCCCCCACACCCTATGGTCCAATGGCCACAGATATGCCGGGGGGTGGAACGATCGAGGGGAGTGGCCCCTACGAGTTTGCAATCACTGACAAGGTCGTCACGACCATGCGTGGGCGCCTGCGCACGACATTTCCATGGTGGAGCTCATGGTGTGAGAGTAGCTTCATACTCTCGGTAATCTCCAACGGCTATTGGATGCCATGGAAGCAGGGCCCACCTACGCCGTTCCGGCAGGACAACCACGCGGGAGCGCTAATTCATTCCACGTTCACCAAGCAAGCAATAACCGAGCTTCTCGAGAGTGGTGCGGCCGCTCCCGCCCCAGCGGAGCAACAGCTATGTATCAGCCCGCTGAATGTCGTGGTTCAAAGAGAAAAGTGCCGACTGATTCTTGACCTCCGAAGGGTGAACCAACATCTGTGTATCCCCAAATTCAAGTACGAAGGACTGAACCGGGTGGCGGAGCTCGTTCACGAAGACGACTGGATGTTCGCAGTCGATTTAAAATCGGGATACCACCACGTCGACATCCACCCTTCATGCTGGAAGTTCCTCGGGTTCCAATTCGACGGGCGCTCGTACGTTTTTCAGTCTCTACCATTTGGTCTGGCGACAGCCCCGTTCGTTTTCACGCAGCTCATCAAGCAGCTTGCCCGCCGTTGGCGGGCGCTTGGGGTGCGAGTCATCCCTTACGTCGACGACATCCTCTTTCTGTGTCGCACGGCAGCCGAAGCGAGAACCACGGGTCAGATGGTGGTGCAAGACCTCAGGAAGGCTGGACTGGTTATCAATTCTAAGAAGTCGCACCTGCAACCCACCCAGCAACTGCGGTTCTTGGGTGTCGAGTTGGATACACAACGCGGCCAGTTCTCCATTGGCCCCGAGCGGCGAGCATCATTACGCTCAACCATTCATGAATTATGCATGGCCGGCAAGGCCGAACGCAAAGTCCCGATCCGACACGTCGCCAGAGTTACCGGCATGCTCGCGTCGATGTCACTTGCCATCGGCGCAACCGCACGGGCATTCAGCCAGAACCTATTACAGACCATTCAAGATGCCCCTTCCTGGAACAGCAGAGTGCAGTTGGTCCCTGCGGTCATTGAAGAGCTCGAGTTTTGGCTGCATGAATTTGACAAGTTCAATGGCGCCCCGTTCCACGTCCCAAACAGCTACGATGCATTGATCCATGTGGACGCCAGCGCACACAGTTGGGGAGCGACACTAGATACGTTCCCAGGACGGCGAATTGAGGCGAGCGCAACCATGCCCGTGCACCTCACGAAAGCCTCCAGCACGCAACGAGAAATGGATGGAGTCCTATGGGCGCTGCAGACATTCTCGGGAAGGATCCAGAACCGACATGTCCTCGCCAGAACCGACAACCAAGGTGTCTTCTTTATCCTTCGCAAAGGTGGTTCGCGGACTCCGAGCCTCACAACCACGTGCAGAGCCATTATTCAAGCGTGCGTTGCCTCCGGGATTCGGCTGACGGTCGAATGGATTCCGCGCGAACTCAATATACGAGCTGATGAACTTTCAAAGATCATCGATCGAGACGACTACGCACTCAAAGCACCATGGTTCCGGGTTCTTGAACGGCGCTTGGGACCGCACTCTATCGATCTATTTGCCAATGCGAACAACACCCAGCTGGCTCACTTCTGCTCCAAAACCCCTCATCCCGACGCAGAGGCAACCGATGCCTTCTCCCTATCATGGGCCTCCGAGCATGCATACGCCTTTCCGCCACCCCACCTCATCCCAGCGGTGCTGCATCACGCCCAAAGGACGCGAGCATCGCTCACGCTCGTCGTGCCCCACTGGCCAGGGGCAAGCTGGTGGCCGTTACTCCAACCCGCTCCGCCCCAATGGGCTGCCTGCATTCTCACCCACATCCGCCTCACCCACGGGAGCCAATGCCTGTCCGCAGGCACCCACACCCGCGCCTTTTCTGGGGAAGGATTGCCTCACAGCCCGATTATTGCATTACGAGTGTCCTTCGCCACCTGACCATTCACACATCTGGTGCAGGATTGCTCGAGAGGCTCAAGCAAGAACTTCTTCGGATAACCACGCGTACGAGGGCTGACTCGACGATTCGCACCTACGAACCATACTGGGCCAAGTTTCGTGCATTCTGCACACACGTCAAATTGCAGTTCCTGCCATGCACAGACATGACACTCGCATTATACCTGGTCCACGCGATTCAACAGAAGGCCACCATATCGGCAGTACAACTGACATGCTCGGCAGTCAGCTTCGCGCATCGGATGATTGGGGCCACGTGCCCGTCGACTGGGCCATTCACATCCAATGTGCGAGACTTCGCCAAGCGACATTGCCCGCGGCCCCAGCGTCTCAAGGAACCCGTCTCTCTGCATCAAGTACACGCTATGGCGGCGGAATTCCTGGAATCGAACAAGCCTGGCGAGTTTCAGAAGGGGCTCATTCCGTTACTCATGTACTCCGGCTTCCTGCGATACTCAGACCTCGCCGCACTTAACTGGCACGAGATTGAGTTCGAGCAAGACGTCATGTGGCTCCTGATTCCCCGCTCCAAAACAGACCAGGCAGGAGACGGTGCATGGGTTCCCGTAGCCGCAACTTCGGGCCCTTTTTGCCCCGTGCAGTGCACTAAACGCTTCATCCAGTTGGCAGGCTACGGCCGTGCACAAGAAGGTCCACTGATACGAGTCTTCGGTTCAGACACCATGGGTCGCGGTAATCCGACAACACCACCCTCCTACACAACGATTCGCAACTGGTGCAAGGAGGCATTCCAAAAGATCGGATTAGGACTCGAGCACCTCGGCACCCACTCCTTTCGCAAAGGCGCAGCAACCGTCGCCGCCAACGGAGGAGTACCAGACCGCATATTGAAACAGCTGGGGAGGTGGCGCAGCGATACGGCTAAAGAGATGTACATCACTCCGGCAATAGACCAGTTGGTTGGAGCATCTCGACATGTCCAAGATCCGACGAGAGCCTCGTCACCATTGCAACACTCCGCGGCGCTGACACGACATCGCCAACCAGCACGACACATGTCTCAGAAGACCCATTTGAAATGAGACGATGCCAATTGCTACATGCAAGAAAGCAAGCTTTCTAAATATGTATATTTTTAAAAGCTGTAATGCTTTTTAAAATTATGTATTTCGAAAGCGAAGCTGCCTGTAATGTAGGATTTGGCAGCGTCGAGCCGCGCTAAACGCCCGTTTTGGAGTACAAAACGTGGGCTGGAGGTCATTTCCCTCCACCCACGTCTCTCATTTTCAAACGGTTTAGCCGATTTTCCCACCCACCCCCCCTCGAAAGCAGGATAGCGTTGATAACGTAGAGGCATATTGTTGTAATGTCACTGCTTAGATTTCAATTGTACTAAACCCATTTGAAATGAGACGATGCCAATTGCTACATGCAAGAAAGCAAGCTTTCTAATTCAGTACATTATTTCATGCAAATCAATCAGGAACATGCTAGAGAGGCTAAATCCCATCTGACATGGCAACATGTCCTCTAGAACATTGCACATAGCCACTTTTGTTGCTTCTGTACTCCGTAATGCTGTGTGCTGACCACCCACCAGAGGCTCATGGAAGTCGAATGACAGCACCAAGCAATGCCACTATCAGAAACACAATGTATTTATGCTAAATGTACCTATGTACATGGCTGCAGATTATACAGAACCATGCCAAAAAGAATGGCCACCAACACTACACGTGACAGGCAGCAACTACCGTAACACATGTTCTCATTACTGAAACCAGCACTTGTCTTCACCTCCACCTTCCAGCTTGCACTCTCCTGTGCAGCTGCGATAAACTATCCTGCAAACAACGCTGCAGAACTGCGGTCATTCTCAAATGTATACCCGGCATTGCCCCCCCGCTACGCCTCAGCAGGAGCAGCATATGCCTGAGCCCCCACAACCGACCCAGCCATGTTCCAGTCCAGAAGCTTCCTTCCCGACCCCCAGAAGCTTCCGAGGCTGAGCCCAATGATAGACATGAGCACGACAGAGACAGATGCAGGGACGGTGTGGGTGGACCCGAGGAACTGAGATGCCAGTAGCATGGCCAGCGTGCTGCTCTGCATGCCACCACATAGAGATAACGTCCTTGCCACGTCATCGCTCTGCCCCATTCCAGGAAGCTTCGCGGACCAGAACCCAGCGGCGAAGGACGCGAGGTGGAAGGCAAGGACGGGCGGGAGCAGCAGGAGGCCGCTCAGGCAGACGATTTGAGAACGGTTGATGGCTAGAGGGCTGCCTATGCATAGCGACGTGCAGACTATGGCTAGCAGCGGCATGATTGGTCGAATCTGGTCGACGAATTTCCGCGCGTAGGTGTTTAGGATGAGCCCGAGGGAGACTGGGAGGATGACGACTTGCAGGATAGATTTGGACATGGCTAGGAGGTCTACCGGGACGGCTGAGCCAATCAGGAGCGAGGTGAGTATGGGCGTGAGTGCCACGGAGGCGAAGGTGCTGAGGCTCGTCAGCACGATGCAGAGCGCCACGTCAGCCTTTGCCAGGTAGGACGCGTAGCTGGAGAGCTGCGCGCCGGACACGCTGGCGGTGAGGAGGAAGCCCGCGGCGAACGCGGGGGGGAGGCGGAAGGTGGCGGCTATGGCGGCCGCGATTAGCGGCTTAACGGCGTACTGCACTAGGAGACCCAGGAGGACGGGCACAGGCCTGGCGGGTAGGAGAGGGGAGGAGTGGGGCGAAAAGTGGTGAGCAACGGTTCTAAAAGCGCTGGACAGCCAGAGAGCAGACAGTTGGAAGAGCGGAACTGGGAGACAGCTGACAGAGCCGGGTAAGGAGGCATTTAATCTCATTCTATTGCATCAGAGTGCGGAAATGAGCCCATACGACCCACATATGGGAGAAGCTCATTGCAGATGGAAAAAGGTGCCCAGCCATTCAAATCCAATCAGTTCGCGCCTTACTTTTCAATGGCGGCCTTGAAGTCCTCGACAGACAGCTGCACGCCGATGGAGAGCATGATGCCGCCCAGTGCGGGCGCGTAGTACTGCTTGCTGAACCACGAGAACGTTGCCGGCCACGTCAGCGAAGACACCGCCGTCGCAACCACCACGTACGGCAGCAGCTGTGACAGAAATTGACCCAAGTTGAACCCCTTGGTACCGCTCTGCACCGGCCGGGATTCGGCTGGCGGAGCTGCTCGGAAGGAGGTTTCTGAGAGGTTTCCTAGCCTCCGCATGGAGCCAACGTTGCTGTGGACGTGGGTGCATCCGGCAATCGTGCACGCGAACTCGTCGTCGTGACCACCGCTTGTCGCCGCGCCAGGCGCCGCACTTGGCGCCGCACTTGGCGCCGTCATTGGCGGCATTGATCCCTCGGAGCCACTCTGCCATCCTGCCTCGAGCTCCGCGCGCTTCGACTCCGCGTCGCTCTGGTCTCCGCCGGTCCCGCGGTGCGACGCGTCTTCCTCCACGAATCCGCGCACCTCCTTCCGCCTATGCGCGGAAGAGAGGGACGCGGCGCTCACGGAGGTCACGCCGATGTGATTGCGCAACCGCGCCCAGTTAACACCTCCCTGGGTTGCACCTGCACCACGTTTCGCGTCCCCGTATAGTCCCTGCTGCTCTCGTTGAGGGCCCGACGCGGCCGGAGTTGCTGACGTGGAACGGATGAGAGGAATTGCGCGCTCTGCTGGCAGATAATCATTGGCTGCTGAGTTGCAATGCGCATCGCCTTGGCTGCGAATGGATACGAACGGCTGGCGAGACGAGGATTGACGCGCCGCTGGTTTGAAAGAGCGGTTGACAGGAGAACGGGTGGAGAAACGGGACGATTCATGAGCTCCAAGGAGAAAAGGTCTCTGAAGATGACACGCCATGGTTAGAGCCTTCAGCGATATCGTCTCTGGCAAGTTTAATCGCTTATCGGTTTCAAATGGTGGCGACTACAATCCCGGGAACCGCGGGAATCGCAGACAAGATCCTAAGGCGAGGCGTCGACGCAGAGCAAAAAGGATCTTTCCGTGAATGAATGGATGAGACAAGCAAATATGCTCCTGCGCAATTCCGGACAAACACAATGGCTTTTTTATGGGCGCTTATTTCCCGATAGTACTACCTCACCACAAGAGAAGGTGGGTGAGGTGGGTGGGGTTGCCTTGCACGGTTCTTCCACCACTGCCTGTTGGCCACTGATGTGACGCTGGGCTATCCTTGCCTTGGGCTTGGCTGGATGGGTGGGTGGGTGGATACACGGAGAACGCGTGGTGTGGTGTGGTTCCTCGCATCCACATGCCATGATCCACCCGATGTTGGATGGGCAACGGATGGATGGATGTGGGCCTCCGCCGTGTCCTGCAATGGAAGCCATCGATTCCTTCCACGAATCTGAGCCGCGGAAGATGCCGAAATACACTTCGCGAGAGTGCTGCGACTCGCGTATGCCATGTCACTGCTGCTCACATCAAAGCTGCGGTTCGGAGAAAATCTGGAAGGCTGATTGTCCTCATGGAGTTTCAAACGTTGGATCAAAAGTCTTGGTGGATCATGCACTGTGATCCGTGGATGGAAAGCCGAACGAACGGTTGGAGCCAGTTCCGTGACAGTCGCAGCTGCGACCCCCACGTTATCTTCCACGTGGCGGACATACAAGGTTCAAGAAGCACTTTAGGCTCGCGTGTGCACATTGGTTGGTGCGCGAACCTGGAATCCTGGATATTGGGTCGATGGTCATAAAGCCTGAACGACGGTTTGACGGCCCTTGACGGTGTACAACAGCAGAACTTTTAATGTACACGTGGATGCATGTCAATGGTGATTCATTCCAAAGAGTATTCGAGATCCTTCTTTCTCCATCCAATACAGTACTGCAGTTGACCAAGGTGCTCGAAAGGAGCATTGATGTCTAGGACGTGATGAACAGAACAGCACCTGGCCAACCGCCGTCCGTCAAGTTCTTTTCCCGCACAAGGACTTCTGATACAAACAAGAACATTCACAAGTTCCCCCCTGTATCCATCAATACAAATCAACAAGTGGAACACATGCCACTGATTTGTTCAACCACAATGCATTTCACTGCTGCCAAGTCACATACACACCATCTGCTCTAGAAGCAAACACACATGATGCTTCACAAGTGAAAGAACACAGAAGTTGTGGCAGAGTGTCTGCTATCAGAACAGCTGCAACACAACACATCAAACAAGAACAAACATGCATTCAGGCCACTTGCCTACAACATCGTGAGCACAGCCTCAATGAACACCTGAGCAGACTGTTGTACTTGGATTCACAAGCTCACCGGCTCGTGCTGCAACTAACGTGTTACTGACCCAAGTCCACACCATGTGCATCCTTCCCCAAACGAGTGTGGCTGTTTGCAGTATGACACTTACCATGACTCATCAACCAACTAACCCTGTGTGACTGCGTTCAGGGTCGCCTGCACCACCACTGCGAACCGCCTTTGCTGCAAGAAATGAGGCAGGAGAGAGTCCACGCGGTAAGGGAGGGAGGAGACTAATAAGTGGGGAAAAGAGAGGAGCCAGAAAATTCATATACGGTAAAAGCAGCTCCTTCCCAGAAACAACGTTCTCTCAATTGCAGCTTGTAACCACGTCCTCGTAATCACAGCCCGTAGTAAGCAGGGGCTCCTCTGAGTAGCTCCTACCTTCCCCCTTCCCACACCCAATGGAGCCCACAGGCAAATGCCGCCACCACCCCTCCGTAACTTCTCGACTGCCGCTACCATACCACTCTCCTCCCCGACCCTCCCCACCCCTCCCTCTTCACCTGCCCGCCAGAAATTCGGCTACATGACCACAATAGTTTCTCAGCTGCTACACATGCTTCATCGCATGCAATGTCGCTATTGTCCTCATTACTGCCCACGACCTGGACGACAACGGCAAGCGTCCCCCCTCCCACGTGCATACCTGCAGTGACATCATGTCCCTCGTCACCGCGTACTCCGTCTTAAACTTACAACCTCCCCCTACACGCAAGTCCCCGCCGGTCAACCGTCCCCTGCAAACCCCCAAATCTGCGGTCGCTCGACAGTTCGCAAGTTTTTCGTGTACGAAACAAAGAAACTCGTACATCGACGCCCGGATGAGCGCGATGCGCGCGCGGGCAGGGGACATGAGGAGGGGAAGAGAGCGCGACGCTGCCCTACAGTCGGGCATTGAGCGCGGACGCTAAGCTGCCGCTAGTATAACGCGACTTTCACACGGTGTCGTGCGCTGCACGCGTGCGAATCGAGGCAACTGCAGGACTACAGAGCACTCGCACTGCTGTACGCGATGCATCATCAAAGGGTATTGCAACCATGATAAAGCCAGCCGTGATGCAGAGCAGAGTCGAAGGCGAATATCTATGACTACCTAGGAGGCGAAAAAAGAAGCACGAGAGAAAAAGGGTGGTTGATTGGTCTCGTGGCCCGAGCCTGCGAGGGAAATCCCAGCCGCGCACTCAGCCTCGCTATCCCTCCACCGCTGGGAGCGGGGGGTTTTCGCTGCTCGGTTTCCCGCCTCACGCGGTGCCCCCCTCTCTAACCGCCACGTCACCAACCCTTCCGGGATGGCGCCGCTGCAGACTCTCAGCTTGGAGTGGACGAGTCATCGATGTGGCAGGCCGAGGGTCTCGCAGGTGTGCGACAATCCCAAGGTTTGGCCCCCGCTCGGGTTACAGTCGGGCGCGACCCCGACCGGCGAGTGACGGAGCCGAAAATTAAATTTTGATGGATTTGGAAATGCCGTGAAGTGCTGAGTGGTCTAAAACCACAAACGAGCGCCAGTTGTTTGGTTTTGGAGGACGTCAGTGCAGAACGAAGTCGCGGAACGGACAGCTGCCCCCATTTCCAATTGCAACACTGCCTGAGATTTCCAATTGCACATATAAAAATATTCTTCTGAATTCCCGAAGAAGTAATGCATGGACTACAGCAGCTCCATAACATTCTATTGTTCCGAACGTGGAGAGCCAGCCCTTGAAGAGGCAGCAGAGCTAGTCCTAGAAGGCACAACCGACGTGGTTCTAGAGGGATTACTCGAGCTGTTCCTGGACGATACAACCGAGCTTGGTGCCGACGAACGCATCAACACCATGCCTGGCAAAAGCCCGGGGTTCAATACGTCGCGCCGGGGAGACCTAGGGTCAGATGTAAGCGAGAGGTGGAGGTTACCGCCACTGAGGGTTACCTGCTGGCCTGCCATGTTGCCAGCAGCAAGCACGGGAGGGGGGCAGGAGATGCCGTTGCGGGGTGGGGAGAACACGAGTGGGAGAAACTCCTCCGTGTCACACGCAAAGCGCGAGTTGCGGAAATGTTCCTCCAGCGCCGCGCGACCCTGCACACAGAGGAAATCGAATGTGAGGGCCTCAGTCAGCATGGCACAGGAATACAGAAGTGGCTTGGCACATGAAGCTCAATGGTAAAGCAGCCGTACCTAGACACTGGTGAGAGCAGCCATGTACATGTGAGCTCACCTCACCATCTGCATTGCACAACACACATAAAGTTCCTAGCAGCGCACCTCGACCACGTGAATAAAACCACGCACCTGAACGCGGGCGTATGAGATGCGGCAGACCTTCCTCGAGTTGAAGGCCTCCCAGGGCTGCAGGTGGAAGGCGCGGAACAGCCGCAGCGCCGCCGTCACCGTTGTCAGATTCACAAATGCATACCCTAGGTTGCACCGGTTCCTGCAGCCGTGCAGAATGGTCATCAGCGTTATGAAGCGGAATACGACACGTGCAAAAGCACACTCGCGGGTAGAAGCAAGAGTATCATAATTCAAAATCGGTTGGAAAAAGCACTCACTTGAAGTCGATGGGAAGGTAGACGAAGTCATAAGCAGACAGCGGCTCCCAGTGCTCCTCCTCCGCCCCACTCCCACCACCGCCACCACTGCTGCCGCTGTCGCTGCCCGCATCACTGCCATCGCTCCCATCTCCACCAGTAGCAGAATCAACACCATCACCCCCATCACCGCTACCATCACCAGGGGCACCCCTCCTGCCTCGTGCCCCACCTCCTCCCACCGCGCGCCCAGCAGCCCAGGGCCGCCAGGGGGGCTGCGAGTTGCAGTGGAGGCAGTGGGCGTCCAGCAGGGCCAGCAGCATGGCCTGGTTGTACCGGTTCGGGATGTTCCTCACCATCACTGTTGTGCGCGTGCCGTCCAGCCGCCCCCTTGCCACCCCCTCACCCACCTGACCGCCCACCTGAGCACCCTCCTGGGATTCCACCTGAGCCTGTGCCTCCCCCGGTCCCCAGCCCTGCTTCTTCTCCTTGTTCAAGCTGACCTCCTGCTGGGGATCATTTGCACCTCCCCCCTCTGCCTCCCCTCCTCCTCCTCCTCCTCCTCCTCCTCCTCCTCCTCCTCCTCCTCCTCCTCCTTTTGGCTCTTCCCCTTCTCTTATTGCCTCTTCCTCGCCCGTTCTCTCGTCTCCTTCTCCCGTTGCCACACCACCACTCTCTGCGCGTGTAACACTCGCACTGGGGAGTGACACCAGCACCGTCCCTGTGCTCCCCCGGCAGTCAGTTGAACCTGTCAAGCCACTCTGGACAAGATCTGTCAAGCACGCAAGAGGGCGATGCGCCTTTGCTCTCCCTTGCACCGGTCCCATTCCGAGATTTTCCCCTTCCCCTGTTGCTCCGGCGAATAGATGAGCGCCACGTGTCTGTCCTTGCTGCTGCCCCCTGCCTGCTGACGTGGCTGCCAGCTGGGCGGCCTCTATCCTGGCCGCTGCTGCTGCTGCCTCCTCCACGAATGCAAACTGGACATAAGATGACCAAGAAAGAAAACGGTTGGGAAGCGGGAGGGAGACAGGAAAGAAGGAAAAGGGAGGAGGAGCAGGGGGCAAAATGAGTCAAGGGGATATAGGGAGAAGAAGCAGAAAGGCTAATGCGACAAGAGCAATGCTGGTCGTAAATATAACCATTCTCACAATGATCACAATGATCATGAGCTGCAGCACTTTCATACCTCTGCCATGTCATCTTCGTCTTCCCCCATCGCCCGTGGCCCCTCCCCATGACCATGCCCATGCCCATGCACACGACCATGAGCATGTGAACGACCGTGGGCATGGGCATGGGCAGGCGAGTGTGCATGTGAATGGGTATGTCGATACTGTTGGTGCCCACCCATTCCCGCCCCACCCCACCCCTCCATCCAACCCTGCCTTGCACACCCCCCCATCGCTTCTCTCCTCCCTGCTCCCCCACCCATCCACATTCCGCCCACGCCTCTTTCTTCTCCCCCTCCTCCCCCCCTTGCTTGCGCCATGGGCACATTCCAATGCATCGGCATCTGCCCGGGACGGGCAGATGGAAACATTCCAGCTGCTGCTCCGACTATTCCTATTGGGGGATAGCCCATGCCTACTGGTGTTGGTGCACCGGGGCCATACATAGCAAAACCAGAAGGGGCAGTGGGGGTAGGAGGGGCGGAAGGGTTAGCAGCAGCAGGGGCAGCAGCAGCAGCAGCAGCAGCAAGACGCGTGGGAGGCGCTTGCAGTGGGGGTGGCAGGGAATCGAGGAGAGGAGGAGAGAGAAGTGGGGAATGAGACAGCAGGAGACGCCCCTCCAGCCGATATTACAGCTAGGGAGAGATGAGTGGGAGCAGACGAAGGAGGGGGGAGGGGGGGAGGAGGAGGCGGAGGAGGAACAAGAGGAGAATCCGCAGCATGGCCAGAAGGGAAGGGCAGCGGTGGTGGAGGAGGGTAGGGCAGAGACGCAGAGGGAGCAGCAGCACGAGGTGGGAGATACGGCATTCCTGGGGCGAAGTGGAAAGCCCAAGGGGGAGGGCCGTGGCCATGAGTGTGAGGTGCGGAGGGCGGGGCGTGGGGCATGAGGGGCATGAGGTGGGAGTGAGCGTGTGGGTAGGCAGTGTGGGGATGCTGCAGCACAGGCACCGAGACAGGGGCAAGAGGAGGCTCATATGGCCCGGGATGCTGCTGCTGCTGCTGCTGCTGCTGCTGCTGCTGCTGGTTCTGGTGGTGCTGATACTGCTGCTGATACTGCTGCTGCTGCTGCTGCTGTTGCTGCTGCTGCTGGTGCTGCTGCTGCTGCTGCTGGTGCTGTTGCTGTTGCTGTTGCCCGTCATGCATGTACCACCCCTCGTGGCCTCCTTGCATGTGCTGCCCCTCGTACTGCCCCCCCATGGCCTGTCCCCCCAAGGCCTGTCCCCCCAAGGCCTGTCCCCCCAAGGCCTGTCCCCCCAAGGCCTGTCCCCCTGGGATGAACGCCTGTGTGCCAGGGAGACTCAGGTTGGGCACAGGTACGGCCATACGTGGTTGAAAGAACGGGGGAACCAAGGATGGCTGGACTAAGCTAGGAGGGGTTGGGAAAGGCGGGCGGAACCAAGGGGGCGTGGATTCTGGTGTGCCTGCTGGTGCGACTAATGATGCAGCTGCTAGTGTGGCTGAGCCTGCAGAAGCAGCAGGGGAGAATTGCACTTGCATCTGCGGGTGGTGCAAGTAGCTGTACCCAATGTCACCCGTGCTGCCACTGCCATGCCCGTGTCGCCTGTATGCATGTGAGAGGTTAGAATCCGGTGGAAGGTGCAGGGACGTGTGAGGCAGAGGGGTCACAGAGGAGGTCTGCCCGTGCCAGCCGGGAGGGAAGCTGCTGCCACGGCTGCTGGCGCTGCTGCTGGCACTACCAATGTTGCTGCCACTGGCGCTGCCACGGCTGCTCGCACTGCCAGTGCAACTGCCAGTGGTGCTGATGGTGCTGTGTGTACTCGACTCTGACCTCCACGTGTCTGGCGAGCTCTGGGCGCTCGCTGTCGCGCTGCTCATGGGCGTGCTGGTGTTGAGTGCGGTAGCAATGGGTGCACTGGTGATGGGTGCACTGGTGTTTAGTGCGGTGGTGATGGGTCTTGTGGGTGTGGTAGAAATGGATGCAGTAGCGATGGGTGCACTGGTGATGGAGGTGGTAGTGATGGGTGCACTGGTGATGGAGGCGGTAGGGATGGGTGCACTGGTGATGGAGGCGGTAGTGATGGGTGCACTGACGTTCCCTGATATGCATTCTTCCCCCGGAGGTGGGACAGGGGACAGCTCTTCTTGGGGCAGCGACGCCGACTCATCAGCCAGGCCGCCACCTCTTGACCTGGCACTCTCCCCTCCACTCTCGCCCTCTCCCTCTCCTGCTGCACACCCATCCTTCACCACTTCATTCTCTACCGCTTTTCCTTCCTCCTTTACCACCTTTCCTTCCTCCATTACCACCTTTCCTTCCTCCTTTACCACCTTTCCTTCCTCCTTTACCACCTTTCCTTCCTCCTTTACCGCTTTTCCTTCCTCCTTTACCGCTTTTCCTTCCTCCTTTACCGCTTTTCCTTCCTCCTTTACCGCTTTTCCTTCCTCCTTTACCGCCTTTCCTTCCTCCTTTACCGCCTTTCCTTCCTCCTTTACCGCCTTTCCTTCCTCCTTTACCGCCTTTCCTTCCTCCTTTACCGCCTTTCCTTCCTCCTTTACCGCCTTTCCTTCCTCCTTTACCGCCTTTCCTTCCTCCTTTACCGCCTTTCCTTCCTCCTTTACCGCCTTTCCTTCCTCCTTTACCGCCTTTCCTTCCTCCTTTACCGCCTTTCCTTCCTCCTTTACCGCCTTTCCTTCCTCCTTTACCGCCTTTCCTTCCTCCTTTACCGCCTTTCCTTCCTCCTTTACCGCCTTTCCTTCCTCCTTTACCGCCTTTCCTTCCTCCTTTACCGCCTTTCCTTCCTCCTTTACCGCCTTTCCTTCCTCCTTTACCGCCTTTCCTTCCTCCTTTACCGCCTTTCCTTCCTCCTTTACCGCCTTTCCTTCCTCCTTTACCGCCTTTCCTTCCTCCTTTACCGCCTTTCCTTCCTCCTTTACCGCCTTTCCTTCCTCCTTTACCGCCTTTCCTTCCTCCTTTACCGCCTTTCCTTCCTCCTTTACCGCCTTTCCTTCCTCCTTTACCGCCTTTCCTTCCTCCTTTACCGCCTTTCCTTCCTCCTTTACCGCCTTTCCTTCCTCCTTTACCGCCTTTCCTTCCTCCTTTACCGCCTTTCCTTCCTCCTTTACCGCCTTTCCTTCCTCCTTTACCGCCTTTCCTTCCTCCTTTACCGCCTTTCCTTCCTCCTTTACCGCCTTTCCTTCCTCCTTTACCGCCTTTCCTTCCTCCTTTACCGCCTTTCCTTCCTCCTTTACCGCCTTTCCTTCCTCCTTTACCGCCTTTCCTTCCTCCTTTACCGCCTTTCCTTCCTCCTTTACCGCCTTTCCTTCCTCCTTTACCGCCTTTCCTTCCTCCTTTACCGCCTTTCCTTCCTCCTTTACCGCCTTTCCTTCCTCCTTTACCGCCTTTCCTTCCTCCTTTACCGCCTTTCCTTCCTCCTTTACCGCCTTTCCTTCCTCCTTTACCGCCTTTCCTTCCTCCTTTACCGCCTTTCCTTCCTCCTTTACCGCCTTTCCTTCCTCCTTTACCGCCTTTCCTTCCTCCTTTACCGCCTTTCCTTCCTCCTTTACCGCCTTTCCTTCCTCCTTTACCGCCTTTCCTTCCTCCTTTACCGCCTTTCCTTCCTCCTTTACCGCCTTTCCTTCCTCCTTTACCACCTTTACTTTCTCTTCTCCCCCTTCCGCATCAGCACCTGCTGCTAACTCAGCTTCAGAAGATCCCGCAGTAGCTTCCTCAGAAACCTCCTCGGCTCTACCCCCAAGCATTTTCTTCAACACCTTCTCTGCTTCCTTTAACACCTTCTCACCTTCCTTTAACACCTCCTCACCTTCCCTTATTACTTTCTCACAATCGCCTGTAACCTGCTCCTCTACGGAAGCTACAACATCCGTCTCTCTCACTACTTCCCCCCTGGTGCTGTCTGGACCAGGCGAGGATCCTGATAGTAGCAACCCATCTGTCCGCGTCTCCCCCCTGCTACCACTGCTCTCCACCCCTGGACTTCTCGAGGCAGGGCTTTCATGCCCGGGAGCTTTCGGAGAATGACAAAATTCAGAAGGAGCAGCAGAAACAGCAGTGGAACTGGATGCAGCAGCAGGAACAGCAGTGGAACTGGATGCAGCAGCAGGAACAGCAGTGGAACTGGATGCAGCAGCGGGAAAGGCCCCTTCTGGAGGCTCTGACTCATGCCGGGGCGGGGTTGTCGTGTCTTTGAAAGGAGGAGGATCAGGGTTGCGCTGGGCGGGCGCGTGCCTGGGCGAGTGCGACGAGCTGCTGCTGGCAGTCGATGCGTTGGAGGGCGCGGCAGATCCGTGGGGGGGCGAGGCTAATTCGTGGAGGGGAGAGGTCAGAGACGCCTGACTCGATGAGCTGCTGCCGCCTCTGCTGCCGTCTCTGCTGCCGCTCGTGCTGCCTCCTATGCTACCACCTCCCCGGCTACTGCCCCTGCTGTCACTCCTGCTGTTGGCATGACCAACAAACCCGCCCCCTCGTTTTCCACGTGAAGACAATTCTCTTGGTCGACTCCCCTGCCATGCCTCCGCTGCTCTCGATCCCACTGCTCCCAATGTTCCTGCTCGCACCACGCCTCCTGCTCCAGCTGCTCCAACTGCCTCTTTCATGAGTCCTTCACGTGCAAACTCCATCTTTATCCGCCTGCCCGCCAGCTCTGTTCCGGTCAGTTTCTGCAGCGCATGGGCTGCTGCCCGGATGTCAAAAAACTCCACAAGGCGGTGAAGCTTCTGGGAAGGAACGGCTCTGACCTCCTTTACATCTCCTGCCATGAAAAAAATCAGGAAAAACAGTGGATGTGATGTGAGTATAACGAAGGGGTTAACTAACGTTCCGTTCCGCACCACCACAAATGTGAGAAAAACGGAGGGGACACAACAAAGTTCAAGCAGCGGAGGCACAATCCAGTGTTCGGGCGAATCGACAGTGCAAACTCTTGACACGTAAGCTCCCAGCAGCACATACCGCATGTTGTGAAGAGTGCACGCAGAGAGTCCATCGATACGGAGGGGTCAATGTTCCGCACCATTATGCACCCATTACCACCGTCCCACGGCCCTCCCTGCTGCTCATTCGCCCCCTGCCATAACCCTCCTTGCATGTGCTGAACCTGCTGGCTTAACAACTGCTGCTGCTGCTGCTGCTGCTGCGACTTCTGTTGCTGGTGACGCTGCTGCACCGCACCGAACCTCCCTTCAACACCCCCTCCAAACCCCCTCCCATGCTCAGCCACCTTCCCCTCTCCCGCCCACGCCCCTCCCTCCCCATCAGGCTCCACCGCTTGCGCCCACACCACCCAGCCAGCAACCAACCCCAGCCCTTTCAGCGGCACAGGCTCGTTCGGCAGGGGCCGGTAGGGGTCCTGAATGGTCTTCTCAGGGGTTTCTCTGGCGTGGATCTGGCGCAGGCGGAGCAGGATGCGGTGGTGCGTGCGCTGCTGCTGCAGCCAGTGCTGCTGCTGGATGTCCCGCAGGGCCGCCTTGGCGTGGCGGAGGTCGAAAAAATGTGCCATTGCCACGCCTTCCCTGCGGCGGGACAAATCGAGGAACCTGAAAACAGGAGGGGAGGGGGGATGGGGTAGGACAAAGGGTGTGCAAGGAAAATGAACGGACACATGATAACGTGGTGAGGGAGACTCTCCCTCGGAGAGCGGATAGGGGACTGCAAGGGGCTGGGTGTTAGTGCTGCAGTCACCAGTTTTCGAGCAGATGATTCCAGCTCACCTCAAAGGACCCCACGTTCTCTCTATCTCTTGTGACATAACGGCGTCAGGTAGTTGTTCAGGTGCTGGCAACAGAGAGAGCAGTATAGCCCGGGAAACCCTGTCTTCTGCTGTTGCCAACGGCGTGGGGGGCATAGGAGGAGGAGGAGGCACCAGAGTCTCCCCCATTTCATACCCCATATAAGGAGCCCTGAAACCCGCGTGTGTAGGCAATGGTGCCTGTGACTGTACATGTAAATGAGGGTTAGTATGCACAAACGGATGTGAGTATAGCGGTGCTTGCTGTGACTGTAATGACTCCTGTGGCTGTATTAAATATGCCGAAGGAGCCTCTCCCTGTGGCTGCTGCTGTTGATGCTGCTGATGCTGCTGTTGCTGCTGCTGAAAAGGTGCGGGATGGTACTGTATAGTGTGACTGTAGGGAGCGCTGTACATGGCAGTCGCGTGGTATGAAGTTGCAGCAGCAGGAGAAGCATGCTGTAAGGAAGCTGCAAATGCAGTACCAGCTGCAACTGCACCAGTAGTAGAACCACCACCACCAGAAGAGGCAGCAGCAGCAGCAACAGCAGAAGAAGAGGCACTGCCCGGAATTTGTAAGTCGGGATAGACTGATGCATTGACAGGGAAGACTGCAACATCCTCCATGCTCCCATGCTTGCTGCTCCCAGAGCTGCTGCTCCTGCTGCCTCCACCCTGCCTTCCACGGACATGCCTTTCCCCTCTTCCACTCCAACCACACTCCCACCGACCGTTGCCACGTGGAGGCACGGGAGAGGACCGTCGCGGGCCTATAGGAACAACCTGGGAGATGGCCGGGAACGGACGGTTAAAATTGACCGCAGGAATTGTGCTGCTGGTAACGAGGGGAGGAATGAGTGGAGGAACCACAAACGAAGCAGATGAAGCAGCAGAGGAGGCGCCAGCTGTGGCATCAGATACGACAGCAGCAGCAGTGGAGTTGAGAGGCGTGTAGTCTGGTACAAATGGTGTCGCAACAATTGCTGACGGGGAAGGCGCGAAGGACGGGGTGAACTCAGCAGCGTTGGGATCAAGAGACATCTTCTTGAACGCCAGTTCCGACTCCGATTGCAAGGCCTGAGTAGCAACGTCTCTATCACTCTCTGTCGCTCCGACGGTTTCTGCTGTCGCTGCTTGCTCTCCGTTCTTTCCGTTCCCTCCGTTATTCATATTTCCTGCTTCCTCTGACACGGACACAGCCGGAGGTGCATCCACCGAGGTCGAGACAACAGACTCCTCTTCTCGCCGTTTCTCGTCACCTGAAGCCTCGACAGTACCACCGCTCCATGCCTCTGCTGCTGCTCCTTCCTCCCCACAGACACTCTCGCTCAGGCGCTGAGTCAAAGACGGACTTCCACTAATAGCGGCTCCATCATCGTCCCGAGCCTGAGGAGAAACCTCGGTTGGACGGGACATTTGCGGAGCGTTTTCGCCGCTTTCTGCAGTCAAATTGGACGCGCGATCCGGAACTTCCATGTCGCCGTCGCTTCCAGAAGCATCACCCGCAATTAGTTGTTTTATTGACAGCAATCCGTTCTGCGGCTCGGCTTCCACGTCCTTCCAAGAACGCTCGATGACCAACGCAGCTGAACTATCCGTAGCAACCCTACAACCCGAGGAGGAGAGTCTAGTAGTCCCTCGTATATAACTTTTCCTAAAGGTGCTTAGCGAGAAACCACTTCCGCTACTAGCATTTAGCGTCGTCACACTATTTGACGCTCTAAGAACCACCCTCGGCGCCGAGCCCTTGGTACCGGGTGGCGCTATAGCCATGCTCAGTCATGGATATGCAATTTAGCGATGTTCCTCTAGCTTATTGCGGGACCATGTCAGCTGTAGAACTCTAGAAGTCTTCCGCATGAACCATGACAGTTGAATAAAGACCTTCAACAGAGGCGGAAAGCTGCACCGAGAAGGGAAAGCTGGTCTTAGAGCCGATTATGGGGTTGGAACATCATAGCCATAATTCCACGCGTGTTCGAGCTATCCCGTGCACAACAAGGGAACCTGATGCACCGCGAGACAATGAAGTCGCATGATGGATGATGCTTCTGCACTGCTGAACCGACGATGTCGGCTGTGGAAAAAAACATTCTCCCTCCAAACATCAGCAGCACGTAGTAGCAGAATAGGCTGCTTTGGTCCCTGCTACATATACTCTATCCGTGAATCTTCGCTCTCCCGCTTCAAGCACATCTGTGAAACCCGATGGCTGCTTCTATCCCCTGCACAGCATTATCCCCTCCATTCTCGGGATCTTCTCGTAAAGACCTCGAGATTTCCGAGTTTTGGCCTGCTAATGACAACTCAACTGCTGGACGAGCTGAGTTCTCCTCGGGGTTGTCGCGACAGCAACGAACAATCTTGCATCCATCATGAGCGAAGCGGGGTCAGGTCCTGGCGGTGGAAAATGGCGGTGCAGAATGCAGAGCGTCCCGAGCCGAAAAGGTCGTGCGGACGGTTGGATGAGGGGCTTTCTCGCCACGTGCTATTATCCCAGCAGTCTTTTTCAGCTTCGGCAGGACGCTCGGTGAAAACCTATCCAATTAGTCGCACCGCTCTGCGACCCGCTGCCAAATCTATCTGATCTGATGGGACATCATGATGGTCAGGATGGGTCCAGTCTTCTGCCAAAAAAAAAAGTAACACGGTAATCTGGGCGAAGATGATTTCACGTCGCCCACCGTCATTTTTTCTAGCAAGGACATCAGGCTGAGATTGCTTGCGGAAGAAGTGCAGGGTAACATCATCGCAACTTCGAATTCAAAAGGCCAAGGAGAGTCCGTGTGACGTGGTTGCAATTCGCCATGCGTGGATTGAACCAAAAGTTGACGTGTCGAGGGCGAATCCACGCAGATTGCTTCTGCCCCACGCTCACCCCGCCGTCAACATCTGCCCTTGCCTATAAGCAGACCCGAAGTAAAACTGGATTACGAAGATGCATCCATCTTGAACAACCGACCAGAAAAAAAATCTTAGCGCATGTGCTGGCCAAATGGTCAAGACATAGCTTGTGGACGATGACTTCACCACAAATCGCCAAGCTTCCCCTCCAAATCATAATCCTCATCCTCTTCATCGACCAATTCTTCATCCCCCAAATCCACCTCTCCTAAAGCTCTCTCTCCCTTTGACACAGAGCTACCACTGCGAACCAGGAGAATTCCATCCTCAGCATCATCAGCCAGTTTAGCATCAGATGCGTGCCCACCCTTCTCCTCTACTGCAGCAACTGCAGCAGCAGCAGAAACAGGAGCAGTGGCCGCAACAGGGATAACAGCCTCCTCCACATCCTCATTAATAGTACCTGCAACTGTCGCTTCTCCTCCTGCTGCTTCTGCTCCAGTGCCTGCCGCTTTTGTTCCAGTGCCCGACGCTTCTGCTCCAGTGCCTGATGCTTCTGCTCCCGCGCTTGCCGCTTTCAACCCCTCTTTTCCGCCACCACGCCCACTCAGCACCCGCGACAGCCTCCTGGTCTTCCCCACATTCCCTTCACCCGGACCACCCGTTACCTCCACTCCTGCCAGTCTCCTCTGCCTCTCATCAACAGCCTTCTGCTGTCCCCCGCCACCACCTCCCCCTCCCACTATACTTGCCAGACCCGCACCTCCATCATCGCTTGCTCGCTTGCGCTTCAGAAGCTCTGAGAGAGGCCGAGGGCCCGAGAACAGCCCAGCTGCTTCGCCAGCTGTCGCTCCGGCCGGCTTGCCAGCTGTCGCACCAGCTGCCTTGCCAGCTGTCACATGAACTGCTTCACGACTACCATTCGCAGGATTCTGCACTGCTGTTGTCTGAGCCCTCTCGCCAGCACTCCTAGCAGCAGACGCACCAGCAACCCTGATGAGCTGCGCCTTGGGTCGTGATTGAGTCGCACTGGCAGGCTCTCCTGCTGCTACTCCTCCACCCCTGCTGGTGCCCACTGCTCCAAGTGATGCTGATGCTGCTGGTGGTGCTGCTGGTGATGGCCTCACATCAGTCCCCTGGGCTTTCCGCTTCTCAGCCAGAATCTCTGCCAGACTACGGGGTCGGTGGAACCCACCTTTCCCCCCTCGCCCTGCTCCTGCTGCTTCCCCCACCTTCACAGCAGCAGCACCAACACTGGGACCATCAGAGGCGCCTCCTGGGCTCCCTGCACTCGCATTGCCCGCAGGCCCTGACAGCCTGGCAGCCAGTCGGTTCTTGACACCTGTCGCGCCTGCACTGTTCACAGCACCATTCCCTTCCCTGACACCAAGACCGTTAGATTCTGACAATGGGCCAGCACGAGCACGCGCACCAGCAGCAGCAGAAGCAGCAGCGGCACCAGCAGTAGCAGGACCAGTAGCAGCAGCCCCACGGCCCATTACAGCAGGGCGAGCATCCGTACCAGCACCAGTGCTACTCACTGTGCTAGCAGCAGTACCACCAGCAGCAGCAGCAGCACCACCACCCAAGCGCCTTTTCACAGACAACCTACCATCCCCTGCCGAACCTCCACCACTGACTCCCAAACCTTCCAAACTTTTAACAGGCTCGGTAAGTCTGCCTTGCAACCGGCCTACCCCAGCCTGGCCCTGCCTGGTCGTATCCTGTGCTGACTGAGCTCTTGCACGCCCCAAACCTAAATCCCGAACCACACTCTCCGGAGCAGCCTCCGGCTCGGGCCGGACCCGCTTCAGGTCCCTCCTCCCTGGTGGGACTTCAGGGTGGGACGAGATAAGCTTCACAGGCTCACGAATATCAGCTGCCTGAGAGACACGAGATTGGGAAGCAGGGAGCGAAGGTGCCTGCACCACACGTTGAGAGGATGCTGAGGCGCCATCAACTCGCGCACGGATCACTAACCCCTGCCCTACCGCTCTTGCCTGAACCTGCCCTTGCTGCTGCTGCTTCTGCGTCTGCTGCTGTTGCTGTAGCTGAAGCTGCTGTTGATGACCTTGTTGCTGTAGGAGAGGCAGAGCGTGAGCAGTGGTTGCAATGACTCTCCCAGCAGCACTGTCGGTGCTGCTCCCCACGGCCACCACCAGCCTACGACCCTTCAGAGGAAGGTTCGTGGCTGGTGAGGAGATGCTGTCAGGCGCTGTGCCTGCTCGCGCCCCTCTTGCTGCTGATCCTCCTCCTCCTGCTGCCGCTGCTGCTGCAGAGCCACCGGTTGCTGCCAACACGCCTGAGACGGAATGGGCAAGCAAACAAGTGAAACGGCAAACATCCTTTGAAGCAAGCGCGTGTCTTTGTTTGCCAAATGGTCAACGTAACAAACACAAAGCGTGTTCAGAAAGTCATTGAGTCATTCTTACCTGGCATGGGAGGAGGCGGCAGCTCAAGCACCTTCGCCCCACCATGTGCCACATGCTGCTGGGCGGACCTTTTTCCCACAAATCTTCCTCTAAGCCCAACGCTACCCTCCTCCCCTCGCCCTCTCCCACCACCCTCCCTTCTCTCTGCTCCCGCACTCAAACCCCTTGGCCCAGGGCCTGGCCCCAGTGCTGCTGTGGCGGCAGCAGCGGCTGCTGCAGCTGCCTCCTCCATCACCGCTCGCACCCCCACTGCTCGCCCGCGCCCCGGCATCCTGTGCCCATGCTGAGTCACTGGGTGCCCCTGCTGACCTGGAGCTTGACCAGGGTGACCTGGAGTGTGACCGATGGCACAATCATAACCATGGGGCTGGGCGGTTGGCTGAATCTGCTGCTGCTGATGCTGCCTGTTTTGGTGGTTAAAATGATGGTGATTCTGCTGTTGCTCCTGCCATTGCTGCTGCTGCTGCTGCTGCTGCTGCCACTCCTGTTGCCCCTGCCAGAGCTGATGCTGCTGCTGTTGCTGCTGCTGCTGCTGATGATGATATTGCTGCTGATGGTTGTGATGGTGCTGCTGTCGTTGCTGTTGCTCCTCTTGTTCATAGTACCCACCTGCGAAACCCCGTGCAGGGCCTCGCTCTACTCTGAATGCTGAGCCTGCTGGCACTGTTAATCGACCACCTCTGCCCCCACCAGCCACCCCTCTCTCCTCGATCTCCCCAGACCCACCCCTAGTTCCAGAGACACCCCTCCCTGCACCCGGTCCCATCCTTCCCCTCTCCCCACCTCTCCTTCCGCCTGTCCCTGCATCAGCTTGATCATCCCACCCCTCTCGTGCTCCTGCCTCGTCATCTGCCTGTCTACCCGTACCTCTACCCGAACCTCTACCCAAGCCTCTCGCCGTCTCTTGTTCCACTCCAGCAGCAGCGGCAGCGCCAGGAGCGCGGCCGGAGAGAGGGTCATCAGCAGAAGCAGTAGGCTCAACAGCAGCAGGACTAGCAGCAGCAGCAGCAGCGGAAGCAGCAGCAGCAGCAGCAGCAGGCGCAGAGGCGTCATGGGGAGGGGTCTCGTGGCGGAAGGGGCAGAGGTCCCCCTTGGCGCACGCGCCCCTGGCGAAGAAGAAGCAGGGCGTGCGCGACTTGTCCTCCGCCAGGGGGAACGCGGGCGGGGGAGCTGCGCCAGGCGGCCTGCCTAGAGGCTGCAAGGGGTGTGAGGGAGAGGAAATGAGGGAGAGGAAACGAGGCGGAAGCGGGGAAAATTATGGTTTTACTGGGATTGAATTTACTGGCTGGGATTGTTGATACCAATTTGTGCGGAAGAGCATGGCTGTATCAATACAACAAGAATAGCAGGACTCGACGCAAAGGGGGAATTAAGAGACGCGGGAAACGCGACTGGCGGGAACCAATTTGTACCGGATGCCTGAACGCGCAGTCGGCTTTGTTGCATCCCCAACTCATCCAGTAGTAGCAGTCGCGAGGGTTCCGCCTCGCTGCTTCGGAATGGCGAAACTCGCACGTCGCTCCCTGCGCGGATAGTCACAGACGAACGAAAACTATAATTTCTCGCCAAAACGACAGATTCAATTGAAACATTAAGATACATAATGAGCTTGTGTGTCTCTCAAGCTAATCACCTTCTTGCACATTAGCGGCGATGCGAGAAAAAAGATGCAATCTGTTCGCGCTTTAATCAACAACGCGTCATCTCCCTCCGCTGCCGTAGTATTCCCTTCGAGATTATCGTTATCTCCGATAATGTCATCCCCGGTCTGACCTGCGTGCCTCTCCATTCTAGGCTCGCGATTAATCCTTTAGCAGACGCGAGGACCGCCGGCACTTCAGTGTAAAAAGACAGTGGGAAAATTCAGTGCGGAAATTCAGGCGCATTTACTGGAGTTAGCATCCGCGAATACTATAGAGCATGATCTAGGTGTTCAGTTGCCGCCATGCCCAAACCGATTAGCAGCGCCGTGACTGTTGAGTGGTGATGGCGGAGAGTGGAAGATGCGGACTGAAGCATAGATACCGATTTACACCCAACCTACTCCATTGGGTTCTCTCTATAAAAAACCTTTAGAAAGGCATCCTGATGCAAGTAAACTGGCCTTAATACGGAAGTGAGGAATGTTTTAGCGGAGCTCAATCGGGACGGGGAGGTCAAGTCCGGGTCAACCTCCTCGTCTTCTCTGCGCGCACCAGACAAACTCAACCTCTGCGCTGCGCCTGATTAGCGCGCAGGTGTTTGACTCAGCTCAGCCCTCCCCGAAAAGCCAACCTCCGCATCGACGGTTTCCGCTTTCCAATCAGTTCCGTCAGGGCAATATCCATGCTCCGCGTGATTCAGCTGGGTGCGCCAGCAAAGCATCCACGGGGGCGGTGAACAGAGCACGAAGCGGAATAGACTGCGCATTGCGCAACTACTTGGTCCTCCGCGCGGTGCTGCGTGGTGACAGCGAGTGCAGCATTTTCAGGGTCAGGAGGGGAACTGTTGCTGCGCTACCAGTGGGTTGGGGGAGAGACTCCGCGGGGCACGAAGGGCAATGGCGGCAAGCTCTTGGGCTGGATTGGGTTTCGTGCTTCGGCTGCTTGCCTTGAGAGAGAAAGGCATTGCAAGAGAATTCCGTTATGTGCTCCAGACGGAAAGAGTTTCTCGTTTTTGCTGATTTCACGCTTCAGCCACTCGTTTGACCCAGTAATTTCAGTTAGTCTTCGTATTTCAGTCCTCCCCAGTCGCCTCGCTTCTCCTCCATCTGCGCTATTACTGATTGGTTTCCTTTTTTTTTGTACCTAACTTCATGAATTAGTCGGGACCTGCAGTCACTAGCTAACGTTTTAATCTCACTCGAAGCTGGACGATGATTCGGGCTAATAAGCTTATCTCTTCGAATTAACACAGACACAGATTTTTTTTCCGCGTCATTGCTGTCCCCGCGATGCGCTCGCTCGTGCCTGCCTGGAGCGTCTAACCCTAACATACCATTTCGCCAGAATTGCTTGCCATGGTGACTTTTGAGTCGACTCAAAAGTCGTTCGTGCATGCCAGCAGCGTCTAACACATCGAGCCCATCGAACATACCGGACGTTCCATTCCAGCCCATCCAAGCTCCTATCTCTTAGCGCTCCTTAACGCCAGAATCGTTGCCATGGAGCTGTCAGCGTGCATAGGTGGTGCCGCGCCTCCGAGCCTCCTTCAGGGAGCCCCGAGCCTCCGTCAGGCTCGGCAGGACCACTACACTCCGTCCGTTCGGTCCGCTGCAGTCGCAATGAGCGGCGACCTGCTGCCGCCGACTGATATAGAGCTAGGCGACCGACGCGACCCGATATCCCTCGAGCCAATCACCAGCCCGCCTTCCATCCGCCGGACCGCGTCGATAGGTACCAGCAGCGGTAGGGACTTCTGCTTATCGCTGCCCCAGATTCCTCCTCCCGTTGCTCCGCGACCCGACTTAATAGCACCGCCAGAGGAAGCCGATTTAGACATGGGCATTACCATAATCTGTCCACCCAGAAACGGGCTTTTACTAAGCCCCACTGACGAAAGCGATAAATCTGGCGAAACCGGCGAAGCCGGCGCGTCCAGCAGCAGACGAGGCGCGTCAGGCCGTTTGGGCACGTCCGGAGCTGGCCCAGCGATTCGGAAAGGCTCGCCGAGTCTGAGCCGCGCGAGGCTCGGGTTGGGGGAAATCCGGCTGGACCTGGGCGCGTTGCGCGCGCGCACGGAGCGGGATTTCAACGCGGAGGCGATGGAGGTGCGCGCGCGCAAGGAGAAGTTCGCCTTCTTCGAGAAGGACTGCAGCCGCGTGCTGGAGCACGTGTTCGTGGGGAGCGATTACGTGGCGCGCAGCCGGGAGATTTTGCGCGAGGCGGGCGTGACGCACGTGCTCAATTGCGTGGGATTCGTGTGCCCGGAATACTTCCCCGGGGATATCGTTTACAAGACGCTCTGGCTGCAGGTGAGGGGGGGGGGGAAGGTGGGGGAGGGGAAGGTGGGGGGAGGGGAAGGTGGGGGAAGGGGAAGGTGGGGGGTAGCAAGGCGGGTGTGACCCCCGCCCCGTGCTCAACTGCGTGGGATTCGTGTGCCCGGAATACTTCCCCGGGGATATCGTTTACAAGACGCTCTGGCTGCAGGTGAGGGGGGGGAAAGTGTGGGGGAGTGGGGCGCAGGCGGGGGGAAGTGAGGCGCAGGTGAGGGGGGAGTGCGGAGCGTCAGTGGGTGACGACTTATGCCATGTTGGATTGCGTATTTGGCTAAAGGAGACGGGTCTCACTCCTCTGCACTCTTTTCTCTCCTTCCTTACCCATCCCCCTCAGGACAACACAGCGGAGGACATAACATGTGTGCTGTACATGTGTTTGACTATATCGAGGGGGTGCGGGAGGTCACGTCTCCTCATCCTTGCATCCGTCTCACTCTCTCTCTCTCGCTCTCTCTCCCTCTGTCCCCCCCCCCCCGCTCTTCCTCCCACAGGACAACACAGCAGAGGACATAACATGCGTGCTCTATGACGTGTTTGACTACATCGAGGGCGTTCGGGAGGGCGGGGGGCGCGTGTTCGTGCACTGCTGCCAGGGCGTCTCGCGCTCCACGTCCCTCGTTATTGCGTACCTCATGTGGACACAGGTGGGCAGAGCAGTGCAGGAGTCTTACAACGGGTTGTCTGTTAACGAGTATGACGTGATACGCGTCCTCATTATTGTCCACTGCTCTGCATGTGGATGCATGCGGGTCGTTTAGCGGGGGTGGTGGAATCAGTCAAGCTAATTTCGCCATGTCTACCTAAGATGCGAAAAGAAACCTGCTGCTGTAACATAGCGGTAAAAAGCCCTTCCCGGTGTCCCTTGCCCCCTCCCGCGCACCACAACCCCTCCCAGCGTCTGGAGTTTGAGGAGGCGTTTCGGCGGGTGAAGGCGGTGAGGGGCGTGGCAAGTCCCAACATGGGCTTCGCGTGCCAGCTGCTGCAGTGGCAGAAGCGCGTGCTGCCGCCCAAATCAGCCCGGGCAGCTGCAGCAGCCCTCGCAGCACCAGCTGATCCGCCAGCAGCAGCAGCACCGGCTGCAGCAGGAGCCTCAGCGTTACCGCCGGCGTCGTCTGAAGCGCTGGGCGGCGTGGTTCGGCAGCACATGTACCGCATGGCACCACACTCCCCGTACGACGCCCTGCACCTGGTGCCAAAAACTGTCCCTTTCTCCCGCCACTCACTCGACCCGCGCGGGTGCTTTCTGGTGCAGGTGGGATCTGCCGTGTTCTGCTGGGAAGGCAAGCAGTGCCACCCGCTTATGGCCCAGCAAGGGTTGGCTACTGCTAGGCAGATTATCAAGTATGAAAGTTTGGGCGGGGAGCCGGTTATGGTGACGGACGGGCAGGAGCCGGAAAGTTTTTTGGCTGCCCTTGGAGATGGGGGTGGAGGGCGGGAGGGGAGGGTGGGTGGGGGGAGTGGGGCAGGGGCGGATGCTGAGTTGATGAAGGTTGTAGCTCGGCAGGGGTTGACGTACCTCGGGCAGGACGCAAAACTTTTAGACGGTGCCCGGGAGAGTTGTGGCTGTGAGGTGACTGAAGGGTCTGCAGCTGATGCGGCTGAATCAGCAGCGAGTGGCAGTGCAACGAGTGCTCCAGACGCAGCAGCAGCAGCACATGAAATAGCACCAGCAGCAGCAACACCAGCAGCCTCACCAGCAGCAGCGGCAGTGCCAACAGCAGCGTTCCCAGCACCCCAGTCACCTCCATTAGCAACAATCTTGTCTGATTCTCCTCTCTCACCCGCCACACTGTCTTCCACCTCCCAGTCCACAACCCCATCTCAGCCCAAGCCAACCACCCCCAAGCCAACAAACCCCAAGCCAACAACCCCGTGTAAACCCAAAACGACAACCCCCTCCCCACCCAAAGCAAGCACATCACCCACACCTGCGAGCCCTCTTGTTCCCTCGCTGCCTCACGCCGCCTCTGCCCCAAACGCAACTCACACCCCCACCTCTCCTCTACCTCCCAACCTCTCGTCTCAGCCATCGCCCCCGAACCAACCTTCCACATCTGCCGGACCTAGCCAGAAGTCCGTGTCTCCGGGCTTCTCTGCGTACCGAACCTCGTCCTCGCTCCTAGGCTCGACCTCGCTCTTTGGTGCGGTGGACAGGTTCGCGCAGAAGCTTCGGCGCCGAAGCTGGGACCGGAAGGAGGCAGAGCAGCTTCGGAAGATGGCTGCAGCTGCAGAAAAAGAGGTTTCGGGAAAGAAAGAGAAGGGGAAGGAGGGGAAGGGACGGAAGGGAGAAAGTGCGTCAGAAGGGAAAGAAGCAGCAGCAGGAGCAGCGGGAGGAGCTGGAGACACAGAAGGATCAGTAGGAGGAACGGGTAGGAGCAGGAACACAGAGGGGCGGGTGAGGAGGAGTGAGAGTCTCTCAGAGGAACAGCTAGAGGCGCTTGCAGGGCAGCTTAAGTGCGGGGGCCTGCTAGATCCCTCTGATATCCGCCTGCGCCGCCCCTTCCTGCGCGGGCTGGGGCGCACTGGGGGAGGCGCGGACTGGGGCAGGCGGAAACTGGCTCAGGGGGAGGCGGGGAGGGAGGAGGAGGACGGGTGTGGGGCGGGTGAGGCGGTGGAGGAGGGGGGAGGGGAGGTGGGAGGGGAGGGGGAGGATGGGAGTGTGGAGGAGGAGAGGGAGAGGGGGGAGGGGAGGGTGGTAGGGGAGGAGGCTGGTGGGGGAGAGGAGGGGCGGGCGGAGAGGGGGAGGGGGCGGGAGCGGAGGAGGAAGGGCGAGGGGAGGGGCATGCGTGGGCTGTCTCCCATGCGACTGCTGGCGAAGCTGTCAGGCGCAGCAGGGGGGGAGAAGGAGCAGAGGGGGCCGGGAGAGGGCGGAGCAGTTGCGAATGCAAGTAGCAATGCCGGTGGCAGTGGGAATGCAATCAGCAATGGGAGTGGTAGTGGGAGTGGCAGTGGAAGAGGCACTTCAAGTGGTAGTGCGGGCAACAGCGCCAATGGCAGTGCGGTGACGTGCCTGCGTCTGACTGCTGTCTCATCACCAGAAGTGCCTGGCAGGGCGGGCGGGGCCGCTGTGCCGCCCATTGCTGCTCTGCAGGGCACCAGTGGCCTTGATGACCCTCCAGCCACCACTGCTGCTGATGTTTCTCATGCTGCTGCTACCGATCCTGCTGCTACCGAACCTGCTGCTGCCGCTGCAACAGATGCAACAGCTGAGCCACCTGCTGCAGCACCCACATCACCTGACAAATCACCTGAAACAGTATCTGGACCAGCACCCAGTGCACCTGCAGCCGCACCCGTTCCCATCCAAATCCCAAACCGAACTCTTGTGCTAAACTCACCCGCCCCTCCCCCCACTGCGTCCTCCTCCTGCTTTACTGCTCTCCCCCGCCCTCAATACGACACCGACTTTGATTACTTTGAAAAGGCTCTCACGGGCGGCACGCCCCGTCCTGTAGCGGGCTTTGTCTCCCCCTCAGCCAAGCCGAACGTGCTGCCACACAAGGGCCGCGGGTGGCTCTCGAACGAACCTACCTGGAATGGCAACCCCTCAGGTTCGGCAGCTGGTTCGGGCGTAGGCTCGGTGGGAGGGAATGCGTTCGGTTCCAAGGAATGGCCGAGCTGGATTCCGAAGAACAGGTTCGGGTCGCTAGGCTTGGCGGGAGGTCCAGGGCTGCCGTCTCCATCATCATTCTCCCCCCGTTCGCTGGCATTCTTCCCCCCTGGCGGCATGGGCATATACGGGCAGGAGCTGATGCGGTCTGTGCCCAAGGCACAGCAGGAGGGGGTAGGGCAGGCGGTGGGGCAGGGTGTGGGGTCAGGACGGGTGCCGGGAGTGGGAGAGGGGGTGGGACAGGGGGTGGGACAGAGTCAAGGGCAGTGGAAGGGCGGGATGGAGTCAGGTGGAGGGGCAGGGGCAGCCGTTCCTTCAGCAGCACATGGGATGGGGTCAGCGGGACGTGGGACTCTGGAAAGTGGGAAAGTCGGGTTCACCCCCAGGGGAGTGGGTCCTTATGGGGGGTTCTCTCAGGGAGAGCTGCTCACTACCCCTCGTGGTGCCAGGTCTTCTGTGAAAGCGCCCTGGGAGGTAGGTGCAGATAGATTTGCCGGTGCAGGCTCGGGTGGAGGTCCGGGAGCTAGCTCCGGAAGCAGCAGCAGCAGCAGCAGCAGCAGCAGCAGCAGCAGCAGCAGCAGCAGCAGCAGCAGCAGCAGCAGCAGCAGTGCAAGGTTGCCCAAAGTGCCGGTTAAAGCCCCAATTCCGCCAGCTGCTCCTAACAACAGGAGTACACTCTCTTCGGTACAAGAATCCAGCGCTAGAGAGGACTGCTTGACAACCACCCCTGACATCTCATCATTGAATGGTTCACGAATCGCGGTTACTACAAATGGCTCAGAAAGCCGCTCTAACAATGACAATGGTTTTTTAAACGGAGCTGATGGCTGCAGTGCCAGTCTTCCCTTTGGGATGACCCCTAGAGGACGTCCCCCTCCAACGTCCTTTGCTGACTTGGACAAAAAGGGGTTGGGTGGTTGGGGTAATGATGGTGCCAGCAAGGCTCCCTCGTTGCAGATGTCGAATAGAAGGTGATTTTGTAACCTGGTTTGCTCTGACCTGACAAATATTGCTTAAATTGTTGCTGGGTAAAGCTTAGCTGGGCGTGTGTGTCTTCAGGTATGGGCAATTTTAAAAGTATTTTATTATATATTTATAATGTATGCTTGAGCTCATGTCATGTTTCTGGTGCTTCAGATACGTAAATCCTTGGAAACCCCCACGGATTTGGGGGTTTCAGATTGCTTGGATTCGCGATCCATCTGGCTGACACGTCAGAAACTGACGGAGCTGTGTGATTGGCTCGGGCGGTGCTGTAACCTTTCAGACCCATCCTGCACGGTTCGTCTGCTATCCCTTTCGCCGCTTCTCTCGGACATTTTCAAGGCTTGCTGTTCCACTTGTGCGGGCGAAACATTCTTAGAATCACGATGTGTACGCCACATGAAGTACCACATGCGATCTCTAACGAACCCTCAGTACCAGTCGTCGTCGGATATTCGCAGCCGCAGTCGGTTCGCGAAGTTACCGTTCTGGCAATCACGAGGTCATGAAAACAGGAGCTTCCATGGCTCCTCCTTTTCCCCTCTCGGCCTCACCACGTTATCAGGCAACCATCCTAGATTTGTCCTAGGTCAATGCCCAGGATAGGTTATTGCAACAAGGTCTTATTACAACTCTCTTTAGGTCCTTCTGAATCAGTTGTTTCTTCGGGACGCTAGATCGTGTAGCTTTAACTGGTGCGGATTTGTAGACCTCGGTTTAAAGGTGTAGAATTAGTCGTTGTATTGCATCGATATTCAGGTTTCCCTTCACAATCTGGTATAAAATTTAAATTCGGTAAGGTCGACAACCCATCTTAATTAGGCCTTCTTAAGCGGATCCGAGCATCAGTTCTCTTATTGTAGCCAGTATGGCAGGTCAAGGTTGGGGCGATGTGGTGGAAGAAGCCCATCAAGCCCATCCTCCCGCGCCAGGGCCCCCCGCGCCATACATGCACCCCCCCGGCGGACCTTCCGCGCCGGGGGGACCCCGCGGACAGGGACCGATTCTACGGCAGCCAATGGGGTCGTACGTCCCCCCCCACCTCCGCGGCCGCGGGCCAGTCGGCGGGGGAGATTTTACGCAACCCCCGGGTATGCCGGGGATGGGCCAACCGGGGGCCCCCGGCCCTGCGCCGGTAGTTTCCTGGAATGCGCCGGCGGGTGGAGCTGGCGGATCGTGGGCGGATCAGGCAGGCGCGGCGGGTCCAGCATACGGGGGACCTCCTCCAGGCGGCGCATGGAACGGCGGAGCTTCAGGCGGAGGCGGCTGGGGTGGCGGAGGATACGGCGGAGGGGGCGGAGGCGCGTGGCAAGGCGGGGGTGGCGGAGGCGGGTACGGCGGCGGCCGAGGGGGATATGGCGGCGGGAGACGGGGCGGCGGCGGTGGCGGCGGCGGAGGGCCGTTGGGAGGGTTTAGCGGGTCAGGCGGCGGGCGGGAGGAGGATCCGTTCTCGACGCAGACCAAGAAGGACTCAGAGGCGGTGTTTGAGAACCACCAGAACACGGGCATTAACTTCGACGCGTACGAGGATATTCCAGTCGAAACCAGCGGAGACAATGTCCCCCCCGCCATCACTGCTTTCGACGGATCGGGGCTCCAGGTGCGTGGTTGACACGTGCTTGACGCGTGCATGGCGCGTGTGCTCGTATTGGATGTTGACGCGTAGAGTAATCAGGCGGCGCAGTGTGGCTATTGATTATGTTCGTTTCTCAATGTTTGTTCTGTTGTTCACTCAGCAGCCGTGACTGGAGCTCGTCATTTCGTTGAATCGCTCGCGATTCATCGTTTCGCGTTTAGTCTCCGTTGAAGAACTAGCGGCGTTGTTTTACTTTCGGGTGTAATGTTCATGTTTTTTCCCTCTCCCTCGTCTGTTCTTTCCTTTTCTTCCATATCAATTTCAGCGCGCAGCCAGTGAGGTGACAGAGAACGTGCGGCGCTGCAGAACCTTTTTCCCTTCGCACTTCTTCTGGCCTTCTCGTTCTAAGCAGAAAGGGAAAAACAACCAATGTTTGCTTTCTCCTCCCGTTTTCTTCCCGACCGCCCTAAACCCCGTCCGCAGCCGGCGGTGATGGAGAACGTGAAGCGGTGCAACTACTCCAACCCCACGCCCGTGCAGCGGCACGCCATCCCCATCTCGCTGGCGGGCCGCGATCTCATGGCGTGCGCGCAGACGGGCTCGGGCAAGACGGCGGCGTTCTGCCTGCCCATCATCTCCGGCATCCTCGCCTCCGGGCCCCCGCCCGACCGCCCCCGCTTCGGCCGCAAGGCGTTCCCGCTCGCGCTGATTCTCTCCCCCACGCGCGAGCTCACCAGCCAGGTGAGGGGTTCGACGAAGTGACGAGCTCCCGTCACGGCCGCTCATGCTCCATGTGCCCCTCCCCTCCGTTCTCCACCGCACGTCTCCCCCCTCTCCCTCCGCAAATCCGCCTTATTCCATGCTTCGTGACCCCGTCCCGTCCTCGTTCCGTTCCCTTGTTCCATTGTTTCTTCCTTTTACTCGTTTTTACTTGACTCTGCGCGTCCACCTCGTTCTCTCCTTGCGCCTTCCCTCCCTCGCCTCTCGCCTTTCACCCGTCGCCCGTCGCCCGTCGCCCCTCCCCCCTCCCCCCTCGCTCCCTCCCCTCTCAACCTCTCGTCCTCTTGCCCCCCCCCCTCTCCCCCTCCCCCCTTCCCCCCTTCCCCCCTCCCTCCCTTCCCACCTCCCCCCTCTCTCCCTTCCACCCTCCCCCCCTCCCCCTCTTCCCCCTCCCCCACTCCCTCCCTTCCCCGCTCCCCCCCGCGCCACTCCGCGCAGATCCACGCGGAGGCCTGCAAGTTCGCCTACAAGACCGGTCTGCGCGCCGTCGTCGTTTATGGCGGTGCCCCTGCCGGCCAGCAGGTAATTATATGTGTAACTGACGGCTAGCAGGTAATTATATGTGTAACTGACGGCTAGCAGGTAATTATATGTGTAACTGACGGCTAGCAGGTAATTATATGTGTAACTGACGCCTAGCAGGTAATTATATGTGTAACTGACGGCTAGCAGGTAACTGACGGCTTTGCCTAGGAGGTTATGTTGGCAGCGGGTAATGCGGGGAGGCGTTGTGATGTGCCGTGTACACTCAACAATTGTACATGGGGTGTGTAAGGAACGAGTTCAAGCAAGCGGAAAGAGAACAGTGATACTTGCTGCTTAGTTGCCTTTCCCCACCTGCAGGCTGCAACTGAAGCCTGTATAATTTGTCTTCTTCTCATCACACACGTGTTCTTCCTGTGGTGTGCATTTCCCGTGCCCCTGCGTTGCGCATGGCATGTCTGTGTGGTGAACCTGTTGTCTGTGTGGTGAACCTGTTGTCTGTGTGGTGAACCTGTTGTCTGTTGCTGTGGCTATTCCTGCCGTGTTGCTGCCTGTGCCTGTGCGTGTGCGTGTGCGTGCCTCATTTATCCATGAATGCATGCACGTGTGTGCTGCATGCATGCAGATGCGAGAGCTGGAGAGGGGAGTGGAGATCCTCGTCGCCACGCCTGGAAGGTACTCTCCCTTCCTCCTCCTCCCCGCTAGCCACCAGCCTTTGCGTTCGCTCACATTGACATGCACAAGTTCACCATAAGGCTGACTGACCGTCTGCTCCTTCACTGACCGCAGAGCAGATCCTCTTTTCCAACGCTCACCTGGTTCCCTTGCCCCCTCACCCCTCACCCCCTTGGCCCCTCACCTCTCACCCCTGACACCCCCCTAGGCTGTGTGACATGCTAGAGCGCGGCAAGGTATCCATCACAATGGTGCGCTACCTGGCCCTGGCCGAGGCCGATTGCATGCTGGACATGGGCTTTCAGCTGCAGATCTTCCCGCTGACGCTCATCCCGCTACTCCCTTGCGACCACACCCCTGGCTCCTGCCATCCGACAGGCTGTGCGACATGCTAGAGCGCGGAAAAGTCTCCATTACTATGGTGCGCTACCTGGCTCTTGACGAGGGGGATCGCATGCTGGACATGGGCTTTGAGCCGCAGATCCCCTCTTGCTCACACACTCTCTTATATTCCCTTGGCGCTCTCCCCCCACCCCTCAGGCTGTGCGACATGTTGGAACGTGGGAAGGTGTCCATCACAATGGTGCACTACCTCGCCCTGGACGAGGCCGATCGCATGCTCGACATGGGCTTTGAGCCGCAGCTTCTCACCCCCATGCTCACTTGTGCCCTGACCCATGCACTCCCAGGCTGTGCGATATGCTAGAGCGCGGCAAGGTGTCAATCACGATGGTGCGCTACCTGGCTCTCGACGAGGCCGATCGCATGTTGGACATGGGCTTTGAGCCGCAGATCCGGCGCATTGTGGAGCAGGAGGGCATGCCGCGTGCCGGCCAGCGCCAGACGCTCATGTTCTCCGCCACCTTCCCCAAGGAGATCCAGCGCCTCGCCGCGGATTTCCTCTCCAACTACGTGTTTCTGACGGTGGGGCGCGTGGGGTCGTCCACGGACCTCATTCAGCAGCGCGTGGAGTACGTGCCCGAGCATGACAAGCGATCGGTTCTGATGGACCTCATTCACGCGCACCACACGTCGAATGGTGCTACTGGCAACGCGGTGAGTGTAACAAGGGTGTGCTTAGCATCGTTCTTTCCTTCGAAAGTGGATTGGTAAGTGGTGAAGGTTGAATTCGAGTAGTGAAAATGGTTGGGGCGTATAGATGCACGCGGTGTGTGCTGTGAGGGGAAATGGGGTGGACTGGTTGAATGTTGATGGGGGTTGATGGGGGTGCTTGTTCATCAGAGGCAGCCTTTGTCAACATCTCCACCCTTGCGGCCTACGCGCTCTCTCATCTCATCAACCTTGTCCCCCCACCTCCACCCGCACTGGCATCATAGGCCGGGCTCACCGTCGTTTTTGTGGAGATGAAGAAGGGAGCGGATTCCCTGGAGGACTGGCTGTCGCAACGGATTCCCCGCCACGTCTATCCACGTCTCCCTCTCCTCAACACCCCCCCTCTGTCTCACCAACCACCACCTTTTCTCCCTCTCCCCTCCCCATCTCTCCCCTTCCCCTCTTCCCACCACAACAGGGCGGGCTGACCCTCGTGTTCGTGGAGACCAAGAAAGGCGCCGACTCACTCGAGGACTGGCTGTGCCGCAACGGCTTCCCCGCAACGTCCATCCACGGCGACCGCTCGCAGCAGGAGCGCGAGTCCGCGCTGCGCTCCTTCCGCTGCGGCCGCACGCCCATCCTCGTCGCCACCGACGTGGCGGCGCGCGGGCTGGACATCCCGCACGTGAGCCACGTGATCAACTACGACCTCCCCTCCGATATCGACGACTACGTGCATCGGATCGGGCGTACCGGGCGTGCGGGGAAGACCGGGCTGGCGACGGCGTTTTTCTGTGACAAGGACACGAACCTGGCGCGGTCGCTGATAGAGTTGATGACTGAGGCCAATCAGGAGGTGCCCGGGTGGCTGCAGAATTTCGCGTCGCGGTCGGGGTATGGTGGAGGGAAGAGCAGACGAGGAGGGGGTGGGAACCGGTTTGGAGGGAGGGATTTCAGGAAGGACCGGGGGGGAGGCGGAGGGGGGTATGGAGGGGGTGGGTATGGCGGTGGGGGGTATGGAGGCGGGGGAGGGTACGGGGGCGGGTATGGCGGAGGAGGAGGGTATGGCGGTGGTGGTTATGGCGGCGGTGGTGGTGGGTACAGTAATGCTCCCCCTAGCGCCTGGGACTAGGCCTCCCTTCCTTCTGCCCTCTGCCTTGTGTCTTTTCAGCCGAACGAGGGGGTTACAGGGGGAGGACAGGAGATGGGGTGCGGTTCGGAGCTGTTCAGTTGTGGTGAGCTAACAGAGGAGTTGAGTCGTTGCTACACTTGGCGAGGTCTTTCGATAGTAGACATTTTTAGGTACTGGAGTCTGTACTTGGGCCTGCTGCTACTGCTGCCGCTGCTGCTGCTGAGGCTACTGCTGCCTCCGCTGCTGGCACTGCGGCTGTTTAGGCTGACTCTGCTGCTGAGGCTGCTGCTCCCACAGCCTTTGCGGTTCGACTGTGCGTGGCTGCAATGGGAGCCGTGGGAAGGTGCTTTTACCAGCTGGTGTGGAAACTTCAACAGGGGGGAGTTGGTCCCTTGGTCCCTTACCCTGACCGCACGCCTTCTCCCATTTGCCGACATTTCTGCAGTTGAAGTGAATGTGCTGCTGTGGTGGTTGTGGTTGGAACTGACAGGTGGTGGGGCGCCTCAGCCCAGCGCTGGCCTCAGCAGCCCAGGTCTGGGCTGTGTAGCTGCAGCGGTGGTGGCACTTCCACAGCCACTCAAGCTGCCTTGTGCCTTGTGCCCTGCGTTTCTGCACGAGTCGCCAGCAGCCTTTGGCAGCAGCCAGGGGCTTTAGCCGCGAGGCTTGAGGTCTTTTTGAAACTTTCTTATTGTCTTCCTGCCTCTTCCCACCCCCTTATGTTTCTTTCCTCTTCTCTTGCTCCCTTCTTCTTACTCTTTCCCTTCCCTAGACGTCTTAGCCATTTCTTTTCAGACCAAAAACCAAGAGCAGCATGAATTGGGGTAGGCAGATCTGTCTGGGCCTTCTCCCTGTAAAGGGGATGCCTGGGCTGAGGGATACTAGAGCACAGGCGGTGTCACTTCCAGGTAGACGTAGGCTTGGTTATGAGCCTTAAAAAGCCACTTCGGCTTTCACAAGGCCTTGTCTCTGGGCCTTCCCGAGGGCCATTTGGGCTTTCCTCTGGGCCTGTCTATGGGCCACTATGGTTTGCTAATGCCTCCGTGCTTGTGTCTCTGGTACCTACGCCTTGTCCTGCAGAGTGTCTCTGCCTCAATTTTGATGAAGCTGGGCCGAGACCAATGGTATTGAAAATTTACCGTATGACCGTTTTCTAAATGTTTTGCCAAATTAGATTCACGCCAAAAGGTGCGAACTTCGTCGTTTTGTGTTTCGCGAGGCATGGCGTTACATCGACGACCTTGAGAATTATTGTTAGGGCGGGGGCAGCGCGTTCATTTTCGCCACTTTTACAAAATTTCGACACCCGTCGAATCTGGAGGTTACTGTAGCTTTTTTGTACCGCGCTTAGTTTGTGTCCCAGGTGGGACACGCGCGTCCAGAATTAGGCACAGGTCCCGCCACACTTTTGCCCAACCGCCCACCCAATGAGGTAACCCTGTACGACCGAATTGAAGGTACGAATCTGCATTTGTGAACCCTTGGATTTGCGAGGGTCGTACGCGCTTGACGAAGTCGTGGTGCGGTTTCGCTGACCTGCACAAAGGCTTTCTCAAATGTTGCACGGGTTGTTCGCGGCCGTTGTGGGAACGTGTTTTGTTCGGTTGATGGCACGGAAAACAGCCACCGTTCATCCACTGTATACTCCGTCGTGTCCACAGGTTACCCTAAATCGGGGTTACAAACCGCTGAATCTGGTAACTGTTTCGGGCTAAGCCAGGAAAATGAACGCGCTGCCCCCGCCCTTATCCCACCAGACCACGCAGCATCGCGTTCACACGTCAAGTGAAACACTTTTCCAAAAATGATGCGAACCGTCAGATCTCGGCTTTTGGAATCGGACGACTGGCAACAAAAGTATTGGAAAGTATGCCAGAAGCGATCGCGTTCGCTTTCGAGCCGGCCCTGCCGCAATGTGCGCTGCCTACGGGTTTCCCTGCCCGCGAGAACGGGAATTTTGCGCCCCAAATCGCAATGCGCGCAACTCAGCAGTACAGTATTCCCCTCCCCCTGTGCCCCTGCCACCCCGCACCCACACATCACCACCACCACACAACCACCACTCTCCCCTTCTCTCCTCCGAACAGCCGCTGCTTTGTAGCTCTTTCTGCATTCTAGTAGTCCACCGATATTGGACTCCCCTCGCTGAGGTAGCGCCATCAGCCCGCATGCCCGCTTCGTGGAACGCGTCCGGCGCAAGCTGGGCGCGCTGGCGCACACCATCAGCGCGCATTCGCGCATCATCAGTGCGCATTCGCGCAAAGAGTCGCTATGAGGTAGCGAGGGCGGAAGGTCGAGCGGTTTCAAAGGAAATTGAGGCGTCTAGTGGTTCTTGACTCCTAAGCATCTCCGCGCGATTTCATCTTCTAATTAACTCTCGTGAGTCGGCTCAGCGAATCTCCTCTCTTGATTGGCTTCCCAGGAACGTGTTTCGCAAGCAGCCAATGACGACGGAGGTCGTTCCCTGACGATCCTTCGCACCGCCCTAGTAGCTTTCACGAGCCATCGCTACTGGCACAACAAGACGACTACCAGGAATTTCCGTTTTTACGAAATGCATGAGGAAGATCTGAAGAGCCTCAACAAGACACATCAACGGCTGTTAGACTCTCGTCCACATCCTTCGTTTCGTAGAATCTCTCTGCACCGCAATCAACACCGCATTCTACATCCACCACGAGCGATTCACCGCGATAGGTACGGTGCCTAGATAATCGGTCGTTGCGCGGGAGCTCGCGTGGCGCATTTGAACCTTGGGTCGACTCAAACGTCACCTCGCGTAGCAGAGGCTATTCAAAATAGGCGAGTAGGCGAAGCGTGTTTTGAGACGTCTGAAAGTACCGTAGGCGAAGTGGCGGAGACCAAGGCTTTGGCACGGCGGTGGTGAAAGAGAGCGAGGTGAAAGGGAAGCGGGGTGCGAGACAGGGACACCCTGCTGAATCGGGTGTAAACTGTGTTGCCGTTGGTGTAGGCAGAGCTCTGCTTTTCTCCAATCACACAAGAGGGCCAAACCGCCAACCGAAGCGCAAATAGCTGGCGGCGCCGAATCAGCAGAAACTGCGTCTTATCTGGCACGGCGGCTGCAGCGAGTCAGGCGTGCGACTGCTCAGTCGCGTCATACCAGACTCTGGTGGGCGGCAGAGGTGGTTTCGCTTTTTGAGCGCGGAAGCAGGCGCGCGGACGCGGAAGCAGGCGAATGGCGGTGATGTGGAGCTGGCAGGGGCAGCGGGGGCGGCGGCAGCCCCCAGGCGTCGCGCCGCTGAGCGTGTGGCTCGTCTTGTCGCTACCCGCGTGGCGTCACGCCGTCGCCTCGCACGCTGGTGAGCCTCGTGTGGTGGTGAGCCTCGTGTGGTGGTGAGCCTCGTGTGGTGGTGAGCCTCGTGTGGTGGTGAGCCTCGTGTGGTGGTGGAAGGAGGGTGTTCCTGCCATGGCATTGCGCGGCCCAACGCATGGCATGGCCATGAGCCATCGTGCTGGAAGGAGGTTACTTCTACGCGGCTCAAGAACACGCCACGGCACGCTGGCGTGTTCTCTACGCTAGGAGGTGTTTTCAAGCAGTTTCAGGCCATGCTGAAACTGCTTTTTGAGATGTTTCCAAAGTGATAGCAGTGGAGGCATGGCGCGCGAGTGAGCCATGTTATGCTGGTGCGCCATGTTATGCTGGTGCGCCATGTTATGCTGGTGCGCCATGTTATGCTGGTGCGCCATGTTATGCTGGTGCGCCATAAGGCCACGCTCGAGCTCCTCTCTTTGCTCCACACCCGTGCCTCATCCCATTCCTCATCCCATTCCTCGTCCCATTCCTCATCCCATTCCTCATCCCATTCCTCGTCCCATTCCTCGTCCCATACCTCATCCCATACCTCATCCCATACCTCGTCCCATAACTCGTCCCATGCCTCTCCCCCGTGGGCCGTGTCACTGCAGGTCCGTTGCTGCTGGGTGTCGGCACACCCCCCCGTCGACTGTTGGCCGACACCCCCCTGAGTAAGCATCCCCTCGCCCCCTCTCTCCCCTCTGCTCTCTCACCCTCTCTCCCCGCCTCTGTCCCCCCCTCTCTCCTCCCCTCGCTCCCCCTTATTCCTCTCTGCTCCGCCTCGCACTGCCAAACCTCTCTACTCCCCTTCCCGCCCTCCTCGCTCTCGTCCCACCAGCGAGCACGCTCCTCGCGCTCATCGTCACATCAGCCGTGCTCTTCGTGGGTGTGGTCATCCTCGTTATAGTCTTCTGCAGGACCAGGAGACGCAGTGAGTCTCTTAGCCAAACCTCCCCTCTTTTCCATCCCCATCATAATCAAGCATACCTGAGTCTCCACGTACATCATCCCCTGTAAAGTCTGTCTCGATACAACATAAACCACACCACCACACTCGCATCTCCTTCCCTATTCCTTACCTTTCCTTCATCCCCCATCCGTTCCCATCCGTTCCCATCTATTCCCATCCGTTCCCATCCGTTCCCATCTGTTCCCATCCGCACCCCTCCACCCCACATCCCTGCCAGCCCCCCAAGTGGCCCCTTTGGACGGCAAGGCAACCGGCATAGTCGACAGCGACAGCGACAAGGTAAACGGGGAGGGGCGAGAGGAAGAGGAGGAGGGGGAGGAGGGGGAGAGCGGGTACAGGCCAGTGGAGCAGTGGAGCTGGGAGGAGGTGGAGGCGGCAACTGATGGCTTTAGCGAGGAGCGCACTATCGAGGACGCAGGGCACTCCGCGGTGTTCAGAGCGGTGGGGCGCGGTGGGGAGGAGTTGGCGGTGAAGCGCGCCAAGCGGGTGTCAGTGGAGGGGCAGCACCTCTTCCGCAACCAGGTGGGCTCAACTCGCCTCTCTTCGCTCATCTGCACCGCTCTTTGCTCATCTGCACCGCTCTTTGCTGATCTGCACCGCTCTTTGCTCATCTGCACCGCTCTTTGCTGATCTGCATCGCTCTTCGCTCATTTGCACCGCTCTTCACTCATTTGCACCGCTCTTCGCTCACTTTCTTTGCTCATTTGCTCCTCTCGTCCGTCAAATGGGATTGTCATGGCGGGCTCGCTTTCCTTCCCTTCCCTTCGCATTGTGAAGGCCAAATCCTGTGCGCCATCCCAGCATCCTTTTGCTGCAGCAGCAGCAGCAGCCACATATTGACCTTCACATTGCCATCCCTCACCGCACTACCCCTTCCCCTCCCCTCGCAGGTCGAGTTCCTGGAGGGAGTGCGGCATCGCAACATCGTGGCGCTTTCGCTCCCTGCGTGCATCAGATCAGCCTCACATTAACATTCCCATTGCTCGCTGCTCTCTCTCTCTCCCCCTCATCACAGGTGGAGTTTCTGGAGGGAGTGCGGCATCCCAACATCGTGTCTCTGCTCGCGTTCAGTGATGACCGCAACGAGCAGATCCTCGTGTTTGAGTTCGTGCCCAACGGCTCGCTCACTGACTGGCTCAGGCCTCTCGATGGTGAGCATGCACATGCCCGCATCCATGCTGCTACTTCACTGCGGGCATGTGCCTGCACATCCATGCAACGAGCACATGGATGTGGCAGCACTCACCATTCACTGAGTTGTATTTGAGTTTGTCCCTAACGGCTCATTCACTGACTGGCTGCGACCACTAGATGGTGAGTGCTGCCACGTCACTGCATGCATTTGCCTGGGCATCCAAACAATAAGCAGGCGCTCGTAATGCCCACATGGCCCCATGTCCCACGAATTCCACGCCTCCCTCTCATCTACTCCCTTCCCCCCTTCCCTTCGCTCTTCCTGCCCAACCAGTCTCCAAGCCTGCGTTGACGTTCGGGCAGCGCCTGGCGATAGGAGCGGAGGTGGCGCGGGCAATCAAGTACCTGCACAGCAAGGCGCCTCCTGTGCTGCACCGCGACATCAAGTCCGAGACCATTCTGCTCGATAACGACTTCAAGGTGCATTCAGACCTCGTTATAAGCTGATTCGTGATCTGCTTGTCCTCTGATTCTTTTCTACTCGACTCAGGGAACACCTGGTGGCGTGGCGGGCAATCAATCAAGCACCTGCACAGCAGTGGTTACTCTCTGCCTTTTCTTGCATTGCTTCCAAGTCAAGGTGGGGATCTGGGCGCTGTCAGGGGCTGCCAAGCGGTTGCTTCTGCCTTGCTATCAGGTCAAGCTGTGGGGCTTGGGCGTGCTGAAGCACCTACCAGGGGAGCCCATCAGGCTGCTCTGCTTCTGGAGCACTGTGACTACATCGCAGCTCATACAATCACTCTCCTAACCTCTGTGTCTTGCCCCACTATCAGGTCAAGCTGGGCGGGCTGGGTGTGCTGAAGCACCTGCCAGGGGAGGCCATGCGGCTGCGCATGCAGCGCAAGAGAGGGTACCTGGACCCAGAGTACTTTCAGAGCTTCCGCATCACCAGCAAATGCGATGTGTACAGGTGCGTGTGGTGTTCATGTGCTGATGTGTACAAAACCGACCTTTTATTGCATGCAGCGCAAGCGAGGCTACCTGGACCCAGAGTACTTTCAGAGCTTCCGCATCACCAGCAAGTGTGACGTGTACAGGTGCGGCGTGCTCACATGGGTGTGATTCGCTTCTGTGGTTGACATATATGAGCACTGTTGCATGGTCCCTGAATACTTGCAAATCTTCCGCATCACCAGCAAATGCGATGTGTACAGGTGGTGTGCGGCCATGATCAGTAAGCTGCGGCAAGCAGCCTGGCAATCACACGGAACAGCAAGGCAGGCTGGCATTGTCAGAGAGCCGCCATGTTGACATTCGCGTTCGGCAGGCTTCGTTCCGACTGACGCTGCGCAGCATCACTTTGACATCGAGGAGCGTGTGCCGTTGGAGATTGCTATCACTCTAACCTTATTCCAGCTTCTTATCTTTCCACGATGATTTCCGCCAACGCAGTTTCGGGGTGGTGCTGCTGGAGTTGATTACAGCGAAGCTGCCTATTGTGGATGAGAAGGACGTGGTCATGGGCTCCCGCACCAGCAAGCGATTCGTTACCCTCGTGCAGTGGGTGAGTTACATGCTGTAGCCACCTTGTTTTCACTTCATTGTCGTGTAAAACTGGAACATTTCGCAGTGAGGTATTGCTGTGCCACTGCATGCAATCAATCTGCACTTGATCCATTTGCAGACTCTGCCAGAAACAACCTCAAAGACCCTGTTCCACACACGTTTCGGTACCTTTTTTTTCCACCCAACTAAACCACCTCCCACCTTTCCGTGCCACTATTTCAGGCCCTTCCGAAGATCAAGGAGGGGCAGTACAACGACATGGCGGTCATCCGCCTGGGAGCGTACCCGGGACGACGACTCCTGAGACGTCTCAAAAACCTCTTCCCACCTTTCTTTGCAATAATTTCAGGCCCTTCCAAAGATCAAGGAGGGGAAGTACAACGACATGGTGGATCCACGCCTGGGAGCATACCCCGGGGACCTCATGGAGATCTTCTGTGGCATCGCTGCTGAGTGCGTGACTCCGCAGCGCAAGAACCGGCCCGACATCGATGTGGTCTCCGCCTGGATGGACGAGCTCATTCAGAAGGACGCCGCATCACGGGAGCCGCTCTCTCGGTTCATGCGAGCGGTGCCAGAAGAGGAGGAAGTGGAGGAGGATGGGTACGCGGTGGAGGTGGGTGAGGTGGTGAAGGGAGGGGAAGGGGGGAAGGAGGTGGTGGTGGTGATGACAGAGGAAGCTGGTGATGGGGAGGAGGGAGGAGAATGGAGCAATGAGAGGCCCAAGGGTGGTGCTGCTCCTGGTGGTGGGACTGAGATTGCTGCTTCTTCGGCTGACTCAGTTGGTGCCAAAACATATGATATTGGCGCCAGCGCAGGTGTTGCTGCTGTTAGGCCTGCTGCTGCTGTCAGTGCAGAGGTTTGTATAGGGGTCGATGGAAATGTGGCACCAGCGCAAAAAGAGGATGACCGTGCGGGTGCAGAGTTACAGGCTGACGTTGCGAGTTAGCTCATGTTCCCATTCGCGTATGTAGCATAATAATGGCACACGGCGCTTGAGATGGGGTATTGAACTTGGATTGTGGGGACGGGTCTGGCCAGGGGAATATGCTGTTGTCAGGGTTATTTGTGGGCAATATGCTGTACTTCCAAGGGTCTTGCGATTTTCTGCTACCAGAATTCTGGAGTGCACAACTGTATTACCACAATACCTTAAACACCTGGACACGAATGTTTCCCAGATCCATAGTCAGCTGCACCTAAAACTCGACTCAAATACCGTACTTGATTTAGCATGGAGCTTGGATTGGAACTTAGGGAGAGTAGGAAGGGCAAGATCTAATAAATTGGCTCTCAAAGGCAAGAAAGCCAACCGCTGCAGGTGAGTGGCAGGACAGCACACCATGCAATGCAGAGACATCTACAAAACAATGCGGCTCCATTCCCTTCTTTGGCAAACTGGGAGCCCTATGCCAATCAGCACACTGGCAAGATACCAGCATAGGAGAAGAGATATACCGTAAATGGGCTCCAATCCAAGAGTAGATCCAGGATCACTTTTGTCAACTAGGAAACAGTGCGACCATAGCTGATGGACGAAATGTAAAGATTCTTCGCCCACTTTTCCTGCAAGTGGGTAAGATGCACTGTGGTAAGTACAAACTTGTATACCAACAAATAGCAGAGAGCAATACATGTCTGAACACTAACCTTAACATGTGTACTTGGGAAAGCTGAAGTTCGCAGAGTCTCCTGCGTCTCATCTGCAGGACGGCGCCTCGGGATGCTTAACAAAAAAGCGGCCTGATCCCAAGTTGCTGCAGTTGCTGTGATTCGGTAGCCAGCGTCCCATCGGCGATGGATCCCTTCACTAGGGTACAAGAAGTCGAGCTCAACCACCTGATCCGTGAAGCCAGCATTCCGTGACATAACCACCCCCCATCTGCTGCCCGCAGTTGCCATGGATGTGACGTAGAAGCCTTCTCTCCATTTCTTGTTGATCCACTTGAAGGGGAACGAGTCACTTACTTTGTACGATTGTTGTGTATAGGATGTTCCTGTTCGCAACAACACAGACAAGCGATTGAGCTACAACTCCTGAAGCCAACCATGACGAAAATACAGCATACTTCACCTTTAGACATAACCACCAAGGAATTTCCATTGCTGGCCCCTGCAATTGAGGTAATGTAAAAATTCCGCTCCCATTGCTCCATAATCCATTCCTGTGGAAATCAACTCAGCCATTAGCTTGGGCATTGAACCCAGAAGCATAATAGAGGGATTGGAAGCCTAAAAAGCATACCTTCGGAAGGAAGACATGTGAGAGCTCATAGACTTGCGAAGTGAAGTTCGTGCCAGCATCCATGATGAGAGCCCACAGATTCTGGCATGATGCCACACTGCTAATAAAAAGCCCGTCCTCGTTTCCTTTCTCCACATGTTGTGCTAGTCTTGCATCAGCCACGTTGTAGTGGTATCTGAACATCAAGGCACAATGCACAGGAACAAAGGATCAGGCTTAATGAAGCATAAGCAGGGATAAGTGGAGTCCAAGGTGGAGTGAGGAGGGGGCTGGGGGGGATGAAAGAGGATACAGAAGGTTACAGAAGAGGAAGAGGGAGAGATATGAACAGAGTAAGGTAGGGATGGGGATCCACTGTGGTCTGAAAGCGATCATTTATGTCTTCGTACCTTTGCTTCATTGGCCGACGAGCACTGTACACAGAGATCCACTGTGTGGCCGGCATTCCAAGCCTAACCTTCTTCTTTGGTTGGTCGTCAGCTTCCTCTTCTGCTGTCAAACGTCCACGCTTCTGACCCACCTGCAGAATAAGGACGCAAGCTCAGAATCCTAGCCTGGAAGAATTGCCAAAAACCACGCACAACGTCACTGGCTATGCACCTTCAAAGCGCCTTCTGTGTCAATAGGCCGATGCGCCGGGATGGGTCCCAAAACAGGGTCGAACATCGCAATGCACTTTGCATAGTTTGGCTCCTCATCGAACTTCAAATTCACCACATACTCCAGAAAGAGCTTGAACGGAACTGGACAAAAGCAGCACAGCATCTCAGGAGATGTGGCCATCTTCTTCTTGCAAACCAGGAAGCCCTTGTTGTCTCCCTACTCATTCAAAACAATTCTCACATTAGCAGCAGCGGAAAGCGCTCGCAGATGACATTTCAGTCAGAAGTACTCACCTGATAGCCCTGCCATGGCAAGCGACCCCGTAGAAGAAAGACCAGAGTGTAAGCCAGGGACTCTAAATCATCTCTCCTACTGCCTGTGCGGCCAAGATGCGCATGGACACTGGCATATCGGACGGTTCCCCTGCACGAGAAGAAAGGAGTCTCAAATTGTTACAAGGGGACCGAAAGCACCAGAAAGGCAACTCGACTAGTGCATGGACTTCATGAGCACCTGAATATGTCTGGACGTTGATCATACTCCACATGCTGACCAGACGTCGCGTCTTTCCATCGTGTTGCTGGCATGCACCAATAAAATTGTCATTAGTATAAACGAAACAGCGGAATGCCTGTCGACATAATCGTTCTATATACATTACCGAGTCCGAGATCAACAAGATATAGCTTCTTCTCGTCGGGAGATCCTGGTTGGCCTAGAAGAAAATTTTCTGGCTTCACGTCTCCATGGACGTATCTGAAATAGCAACAAACAGCAAAAACATTACCCGCAGCTTACATTTCGTAGAACAAAGCAGACGAACCAGCTCCCATTGAACTTACCCCCGTGCGTGCAATTTCTCGAGAATAGAAAGAGCTTCCACGGCAATGCATGCTACCATTTCCGTTGACATCCTGAAATCGTCGATAGCACGATGTAAGACGAGCTAGCAGTGTAAGAAGGTTAATCAAAATGAAAAAAAAAAAAAAAAACCCTTACGCTTGATTGGAATTGTTCCAGACATCCCACAAGCTCGGTCCGAGCATATCCATGACCTGTACGCCAAGATTCATAGCACTTTTAGGACAAGGCTGGAATTCGGAATAAGGATGACGTTGAAGCTTTGGGACATGCGCACCATGACGTAATAGTCGCCTTGTCTGCCTTTGTAGTGAACCCTAGGAACTCCATGACTCCCTCCGAGCGTGCTGTCATGACGGGAATTTGTTAGGTTACGAGATGCAGGTTTCGAAGAGACCAAACGTGCATAAACGACGTTGCCTTACTTGTAAACTTGCCACTCGTACGGAGGCCCATAATTACATCCCTTGCTGCTTCTATGCTCGAATTTCAGTGCTACCTGCGATCAGAAGAACGATCTACTGAAGTTTCTGGGACTAGTTAAGAATTACAAGGACCAGAAAAGAAGCTATTGCGTTCACTACCTCGACAGCATGAGGGCCAACTCGCTCAGTCCCTCCGTGAACTCTACGACCCACGTAAACTTGACCAAAACCTCCCTTTCCCAGCTTCCGATCCATCTTGTACACTGGTGATCCGCCGACTTGAACCTGTGAACCAAAACGAGAGGGCCATTATGAACCGAGGCTTGGATTTACGGGGAAAACATGCTAGATGGGTGTGTACCCTTTCCGGAAGCGGTGCGATTCCTCCATCATCTTCCGCGGGTTTCTCTCCCGTCTTCTTTTCACTTTCACCTTCCATTACAGCAGCAAGTCACAGCAACAAGCTAGTGCCAACTTTTGGACCTTTCTGTAGAGCTAACTCAAGCTAGGCAGACACATTAGCTGCTAGGGTTACAAGCGCTGGGTTGGAGGGATCTGTGAAGTTGTTGGTGTGGTGGTGGTGGGTGTGAGCAGAGAGCCACGGATGATCTAGGGAGGTTGATGCCATCATGCCATCCCTTGTGGCAGGGAAGGCCAACACAGGACAGGAGTCAGAAAATAAGCGGGGAAACTGAGAATTTTCTGTCAGAATACGGCAACCTTTCGACGGATCGCGTTTAGTCAACCAGTCTCCCCTCTCCAAACCACCTAGCTTGGTTCGGGTTATTGATGAGTCAATATACCTTGTCCATAAACGCACCAGTTCCGAAGGTACAGAAGTGTATGTACACTATCACTAGTGTCGAGGGCCATCCATGAGCCGATTTGGAGTGTACCTCTTCCTTCCCAGCCAGCCGATTTGTCGACCCAACCACGTAGAACCACGTAGAAGAACGCAGCACCACCAAGCCCTGGACTAGAGCAGTTTCCTTCAGGACTTGACATGCCAGGAAAGCTCATTTTGGCACGGCAGTTTTCTTCTTTTCTAGACCACCACCCATGTCAAATGAAGGCTTAGGCACGGACGTCTTGGTTGCATGTTGACCTTCTCCGTGGCTCTGCATTGAAAAGGAAGCTTATTCTTTTCTAAGGTCGTTATTTTTATTGGTCATTTATTTATGACCGGCTCATTTTTCCTCCGAGTTCGTAGTTGACACGGGTGGCTGTGCCATGGGAGAAGCTGTGAAATTAGCGACGCACTGTATGTGTTTTTAGGCCGCCTTCCAAGGGCGCACGGGTGGCTCTAGTATAGTTTTTCGTCAGCATGGGCTGTTGTGTGTCTATAGACGAGGAGGTCGTACGGCCGACCACACCACGCAAGCCTGAGACTCCTAGAGAGAGTAAGTACAACGCAACTGAGTCTCCCCTCGCGGACCCGTTTGTAATTGTTTGACAACTGGAGTCTCCCAATTCTTGCCGTGTTCAGGTTCTGTATACCTCGTCTAATGTAACCTCACTTACCCAAGCCCTATTGCCATCCTTCTTGCAAATTGCCCTTTTTTTTCTCCATAGCGGGCAAGAGACAATCGACTGGTGATCACCCTGTCGCTTCCATTAACGATATAATAGGCTCTAGCACCTCCTCGAGCCAGCATCAGCGCGTTGCCTCGGGAGGAGGCAGCGGAGCCGCGTCTGTAGGAGACAGCAAGAGATCGAACGGGTCAGCACCCGGGAGTCAAGTTGGCACGAGTGTTGGTCACTCGGACGCTGGTCGCGTGATAATCAGCGTAGGGCACCACAGCGGCACCGGGACCACTGAGCTGTCTGTTGACGCCTCGTTAAGAGAGTTCTCGTTTAAAGAGCTGGAGAAAGCAACGAAAGGTTTCAGAGACGATGGAAAGCTTGGCGAGGGTGGATTTGGAAGCGTGTATAAAGGGACTATTGATGCGAACACGTCTGGAGGAGGACAGAAGGTCGCCATTAAGATGCTGACGCTGGACGGGACACAAGGAGACCAGGAATGGATGGTAAGTATCGATGGGGGAAGAGACGTAACGTGGTTTGGGGGAGGGAACGGTGGTTTGAATGGATGGTTGGAGTGAAGAGAACTGTTGATGACGTCTCAGTTTGACCTAAGTTGAATTTACTGTATCTGACCCGCAGCATTCAGATCTCATCATTAACATTTCTCTCTTACTTTTTTCAGGCTGAGGTTCGGTACCTGGGCGAGCTTCGGCACCCGAACTTGGTGCGGCTAGTGGGGTACTGTGCAGAGGACATGCAGCGTTTGCTGGTGTATGAGTTCATGGAGTATGGCAGCCTCGAGAGATACCTCTTTTCACGTGAGTGGCATCCCTGCTTGTGTTATCACGCACTTCAGCTTTCTCTCAGTTTTTTTCGAGTAACACAATGCCCCTTGTCTTAATTTATTCAAAGCTTCCCACATTAGGTGCTTTGTTTAGGTTTGAAGAGCAATGTCACGTTCAGTTGACTCCATCTGGTTGACTCTGTTGATCGGTGCAGGCACCCGGGATCCATTGCCATGGGACATCCGCATGAAGGTGGCGCTGCATGCTGCTCGCGGCCTCGCCTTCCTGCATGAGGAGACGGAGCCGCAGGTCATCTACCGGGACTTCAAGACATCCAACATCCTCGTGGACAGGGTCAGTCTTTGCTGCTTAAGGATTCTGCCTAGGGGAATGCTGCTGCTAGACATCTGCCAGTGGTATTGCTGCTAGAAACGCTGCCAAGGTAGAAAAGCTGCTGAGGTGAATGCTGCTAGAAACGTTGCCTGAGGGTATGCTACCAGAATTATTGTCACAGGGAATGGTGACAGAAACCTTGCCAAGGGGATTGGTTCTGATGCCATGCCTGATCCAGCACTCGATGCTCAAAATTTTTTGCCTCCCTTCCCCTGATCGCTCCGCCCCTTTTCCATCTCTCCAACTTCCCTCTCCCAATTCCTTGCAGGAGTTCAATGCGAAGCTGTCTGACTTTGGGTTGGCAAGGGACGGACCCCAGGGAGGCAACACACATGTGTCCACACGAGTCATGGGCACCTTCGGCTATGCCGCTCCTGAATACGTTCTCACCGGTACGCGCCTGCTGCCATGTCAGTTCAATGCACCAGTTCTTTGTCTTATTGTCAGTATGAATTACCACATTGTTGCCCTTCTCAGTTATTATTCGAAAAAGAAACAGCGTTCTAAATCATCGATCTGTTCCTCGTTCATTAGACAATCTGTTGCTGACTTTCACAACCACTGCCCATGCTCCTGAAATACCTTGCTTTCACTAAGTAGATGCTTCCTGTGCGTGCGCGTAACCTGGCATCCCTCAGGCCACCTGACAGCCAAGTCGGACATCTACAGCTTCGGCGTGGTGCTGCTGGAGATGATTGGTGGGCGCAAAGCCATGGAGCAGCAGCTGCCCAAGTCAGAGCAGAACATCATCGACTGGGCGCGGCCCTACTTCCGCGACCGCTCCCAGCTACCACGGCTTCTAGACAAGCGCATCGTGGCTGCTGCCCAGGCCAAGCAGCAGCCCATGCCGCTGGCCAAAGCGGTGGCAAAGGCGGCGGTGATTGCGCAGTGCTGCGTGAAGGTGGAGCCCAAGGAGAGGCCTGCCATGTCTGATGTGGTTCGGTCCTTGGAAGCTGTGCTGCAAATGTCCATGCCTGCTGCGCCTCCTGCTGCTGGAGGCACGTAGCATGGGTGCGACCTCTGTCGCGCTTGGAGGCCAATGTGTAGGTTGGAAGAATCGACTCTGGCATGGAGCAGCTGCTGCTTGAGGTGGGGCGCAACAGCATCCACTTGGCAGGCGTTTCAGCTAGGCCGGGGTAGATGGAGGTGATAACTGACTAGTTAGTATCTGGTTTGTAGCTAATGAGGCTCTTGTGTTTTGGTTTACCGCCCAATCATTCAAGCATGTACGGTATGTTCACGACCACCATAGCCATCTTGCGTTTGTGGATCATGCCACAAGCATTCTAAGGATAGTCAGAGACACTCATTTCTTCTGAGGGTGCATGGCAGACTACGGCTACAATCGTTTCCCATTCAGATAAGCTTTTGGACAAAGAATGGTGGTGTTGAAACTAACAAATAGTGCCCTTTCCCAGAGGTGGCTAAAAAGTCGTGGGGACTGCTAATCACCACAAATAATAACAAATCTGGACAAATTGCTTTCACTGAAGCGTATTCCCTGCACAAGGAGGACGTGAAACAGATGGTTAACGATGTATAATGGAAGCAAAGCCTGCAGAGAGGAACCTTGCCACAAATGCAAGTGAATAAACTCAACTGACCTGAAGAGGCGCTCCGCTTGCACTCAGTAAGCATATCCAGATAGAACTGGCATTTGGAAATGTCGCTCCCATGCATTTCCACGCACTGCCCGGAGCAGACAAGCAAAAGTCTTAGACCAGAAGCGATCCTGCATTATATTCTCATGGAAGACGAATGCTATCCGGATATTTAAGATCCCTCGCACGGGTGCCTACCTTGTTGAAATCCTGCTGCAGCTGAGTGCAGTCCGTCGGCGAGCTGGCAGTCGCAGGAGCGGAAGCGGGCGCAGCTGCAGGCGCGGCTGCAGGCGCGGCGGAGTTGACGTGCTCGTGCACGACAGTGCGCGGACCCATGATGGCATCCACGGCTCTGTTGGCAATGGCGGATCCTGTTCCAAACGCCATGCCCTCTCCCACCGTCTGCATCAACCCACCCAGCATGCTACCCCCTCCAGAGGCTGCTGCTGGCTGCGCTGGGGAAGGCGCTGGTTGCGCTGCTGCGCAAGCGATTGGGAGGAGAGAACATGAGAATGCAGGATGGCAAGAGAAGACACGAAGTGGAGGATTCAAAAGCAGAGTTGAACATCTGACGAATCGGGATGGATCAGACACGAGGAAAGGGCGAGATCGGACTGACCCGATGGAGTACCTGGTGCGGGTGGAGGCGCAGAGTGAGTGTGCGACGCAGGTGCTGGCCTCGGAGCTGGCCTCGCCGGAGCAGAGGCCCTCGATCCTGCCGACGAGATAGACGCAGACAAAAATACAATGATCCAGAGGTAACGGAATGTCGGTGACCACGAACGAATCGAAATGAATCGAGATACTGGATGATCCCGAGAAACAAACGCTTACCAGAAGATCTGCTGGTTGCACGCGGCATCCTGTCTACTGAACGGTAGCGAAGAGACAGATACGGGGCGAGAAAACACAGCGAACAATTGATCCCGCACCGATAATGCTTCTGAACGTAAGGTAGCTGCGAAGAGCAAGTGTGACGTCTGAAGATGGCCGAACTCGTTGGGATATTAGTTATGGCGAACTCGACGAGAATGTGAAAAAGAAAAGAATAAGCAGATGTCCCCGAGGTTGCTTGGTTGGTTTGGGCCATCGGTGTAATCGAGGACTCACGACTTACGAAGACTTGACAGCCTTCGCAGCGATGGCGACTGCTTTCGCAACACGCAACTACCAATTGATTTCCACCGCCCCTCCAGAAAGTTCGGCCCCAATCGTCGGTTCATCGTGCACTCTCTGTGGCGATCCGCGTTATTAAGAAAGCCTTTCAGCGAACGGTAGATTGCTCCACTTTCCACATACCAAATGCATCGATCTTATGGACTTCGTGTTCGGTGCCAGTGTCAGATTATAACGCGTCATAAGGGAAGCGGAGATGCTGTACAGGAAAGTCGAATAATCTGAGAACCTGACAAGCAGATTTCACACTGCAATTAGAAACGCCGCACATTGACAATACCGTAGTTACTGCCACCTTTGCCGCGATTCGCCATTCGACGGTCGCGATTCGTGCACAGACCCGTTGCGCTGCGTGTATTCCACCTTCCTGATTCGGTGCGCTTGAGATTCGCAGGCGGGCTCATGGCGACGACAACCCAGCCGCTGCTGCCATCTCAGGCAGACTCCGTAGATGACCTCTTCCGCGCCACGCCCGTTCTTTCAGATGGATACAGCGGCGTCGCTCCTGCCAGCGCCGCCAGCGGCGTCAGCGCCGCTACTAGCACCGCCATCCCTCCGCCACGTCCGCTAAGCACACTGACTGGTGGGTCAGGCTATGAGTCAATGGAGTCTGTCGCATGGGGAGTCAGTCGACTTGAGATGCCCTCACTTATTTCACTTTTCCTCCTCCCCTCCATGCCTCTTCTCCCGTCAGAGCCTCTGTCAGAAACCCTGTGGAGAGACGTGCAGTGAGAGGGAGCGAATCTTGAGTCGACTCAATAGTAGCCCTCTTTCCATTCCACTCTTCCTCCACTCCCCCCCTTCCCAGCCTCTCCTCCCACCAGAGCCCGTATCAGTAACCCTGTGAAGGGACGAACAACGCTGGGTGAATTTTTGAGTCGAATCAAGTCATGCCTTCCTTCCGCTCCTCCCTCCGCACCCCACATCTCCCCCCACCAGAGCCTGTATCAGAGACCCTGCGGAGGGACGTGCAGCGAGTGTGGGTGAACCTGCGGTGTGTGCTTGTACCGAGCGAACGGAGCTCCCTCAGAGACTGGGACCTGTGGGGACCGTTCTTCTTTATAATCACCCTCGCGCTGCTGCTCTCCTCGTCCGCCACGCACAACAAGGTGAGTGTAATGAGGTGAGAAGAGGGCGAGTTCAACAAAGGCAGCACAACCAGCAATGAATCTCTGATAATAGCTTGACAGCTGAACTGGATGCTATGTGACTAGCTTACCCCGTGCCTCACTCTATCCTGCCTGTCTCGTGCCCTCTCTTATTTCGTAATGAACGACTGGGCTCGTGCTGATGGATTAATGTCCCTGTTTCCTGTGTGTCACAGGCGCATGTGTTTGCGGTGGTGTTTGGAACAGTATCAACAGGAGCCGTTGTCCTCACACTCAACGTGCAGCTGCTGGTGAGTCCCCTGATAAGCACTCCGCCACACACTCAGCCAGAATCATGTTCGCCCCTGCTCCCATTCCTCTTGCCACCTCGTCGCCCGTCGTGCTTCCCCTGGCCTGCGTGTACCCCTTTGCATCTCACTACACCCCTCAGGCTGCTCCATGCACAGGCATGCCCCTCTGCATCTCACTGGGCCCCTCATGGACCCCCCGTCATGTCCTTTCACGTGCCTCACATCACTCCCTCACACCACAGGGCGGCCACATCATATTCTTCCAGAGCCTCTCCCTCCTCGGCTACTGTCCCTCACACACATATGCCCCTTCGCATCTCACTGCACCCCTCATTCCGCCCTGCATATCTCTCTCTCTCCTGCACCCCTCTCCCTCACATCACAGGGCGGGCGCATCATATTCTTCCAGAGCCTCTCCCTGCTCGGCTACTGCCTCGTGCCTCTCGACCTCGCCGCCCTCCTCTGCCTCCTCACCACCGCCAAGCTCGTCCGCATGGCGCTCGTTTTAGTCACATTCGCTTGGAGCTCCTCAGCTGCATACCCCTTTGTGGCCAAGGCTGTTCCGGAGACGCGCAGGGTGCTGGCAGTGTACCCTGTCTTCCTGCTCTACACCGCTATTGGTTTCCTTGTGCTCGCTAATGACTAGCATATATACCACACTGGACTCTGCAACGATAGTGCCCTCAATGACAAACATTTAACATGTGTAGGTTTGTAGTAGTCCAAGTGAAATGTATTGTAACGTGTTGAATATTCCAAGTGGTCTCACTCTGCAACTCCACATTGCACCATAGAGCTACTCAGGGCACACAATAACAAGGATGGCATCCAGGCTATCAGAGGGCAGGCCAGACACAGACCCCCCAAGGCTCAGCACTCTTTGCAGCAGGCCCAATGCCTCTGCAGTGACCACCTCCCCCGGCAGCAACACTGGGATTCCAGGCGGGTACGGGCACAGCATGTCCGCACTGTAACGCCCCACCGCCTGCTGAGCTGGCACAACCTCACTGGGCGAGAAAAATGCGTCCCGTGGGGATAATTGCGGGCAGCACACTGGAGTCCCGCGGCTGGTCGGTGGTGCAACCGGAAACAACACTTGTTCTAGCTTTACTTCACCCTCCTCCCACTCTACTCCATCCACCCTCTCACTGACTCCCCTCTCCTCCACCATGGCAGTGAATGCAGCAACAACGCGGTCCACATCGCTCTCAGTGCTGCCAGTGCTGACAGCAAACATGATGCCATGCAGGAAAGGCAGCTCTGCCACCACCCCATGCTGCAGCCGCAGCACATCATCAGCCTCGTACCCTGTCAGCCCCAGCTCCCTCACACTCACCGTCACCCGCAGCGGGTCAAACCCTGCATGCCTCTTTGGCTGTTTGTAGCCTCTTAAGGTTTTGTCTGGGCTGAGGAGGACTCGCAGGCCGAGGGCGAGCAGGGAGGAGCGCAGGGGGGCAGCGAGGTGGAGGGCGCGCGCGAGGGCGGAGGGGAAGGAGGGGCGGGCGACGTGGCCGGTGGTGGCGTCGAGGGACGCGAGGAGGAGGTAGGAGGGCGACGACGACTGCAGCAGCTGCAGCGCTCGCGCCACGTCTCGCACGCTCACACGGGGTGATGGCGGCAGTGGTTCTTCTGGCAGTGGTGCTGCTGTTGAAGGTGGTGGTACTGCTGACTGCGATGGTGCTTCTGACGGTGGTGATAATGCGGCTTCACCCACATTCCCACCAGGAGAGCCTGAATAGCCATGGCCAATATGCAGCATGGCGGACTGAGTCAGAGATCCCAGCACCTTGTGCGTCGACTGCACCACTATGTCTGCACCCGCCTCTAGTGCGGTCTCTGGCAGCGCGTTGTGGAACTTAAAGTGCGCCCCGTGCGCCTCGTCTACTATTAACGGCGCGCCTGCCTCGTGACAAGCCCGGGCGATTCCCCTGATGTCGCTGCATACCCCATAATAGGTCGGGGAAACCACCAGAACAGCTCCTATTCGCGCTCCAGTATCAGCCACGTGCCGTATCGCCTCTATGACGCTATCCAGGGTAACTCCGTGTGCAATACCCCAGGAATGATCGGTCACTGGGAGGATATAGTGCGGCACGGCTCCTGATAGCACCATACCGGAAAACGCGCATTGGTGAGCGTTGCGAGGGAGAATAAGGACGTCGCCGGGTCGGCAACAGGCTACTATAGCCGCCTGTACGCCTACGGTGCTGCCGTTGACTAAGAAACGGGTCTCCGACGCGCCGAAAACTCGCGCTGCGCGCTCCTGCGCCTCGGCTATGACGGATTCTGGCGCGAAGAGGTTGTCAAGATCCGGCAGCTCTGGCAGATCGTGACGGTAAACGTCAGCACCGAACGCGGAGAGCGCATGGGGAGGCGCTCCGAGCCCCCTGCGATGAGCCGGAAAGTGGAAACTTGCCACGTCATCATCCGCGTTGCACGTCAGCGCGTCCAGAAGAGGATCGGATTGATTCGACTCGGAAGCTTCTATCGTCAACTGGGAAGCTTCTGAAGATCCTATTGATTCATCAAGACATCGGATCGGCGGCTGGGACGATTCTGCTTGGCATGAAAGCGGGAAAACGCGACAGATGCGGGGTCCGAAGCGAATCGCAAGCCTCGAACTCGGCGAAAGTGAGCAGCTGAAGGATGACGGCGTGGATAATCCAACCGTTCCGAATGCAGCTGGCGAAGATAATGCCGTCATTTCTGAACGCTTCCGTCCTCACAGACGTACCACTCAACTAAAGGGTGTGTAGTAGCAATGGCAAAATGGCAGTCGAATTCGCGAGAGCTAAGTTCTATATGCCCGGAACTAGGCAGCCACGAATGATCGATAAATGAATTGATCAGAGAAATAAACGGAGCTTCGTTCTTTCCAGGCCATAAATGAAGGCGCCAGAAAGTTCAAATTTGGACGAAACTATTCGCGACCACAGAAACTCGCTCGCACGGGAAAAAAGTTGCGCTTCGTTGTTACAGAACACTCTCGAATGGATACGATCTTCGCATTCTTCGCACTTGTGCTCCTCCCGGTTTGCGCCTTCTCCCCTGCCTTTTCCGCGCCGTTCCCCCACTCCTGCCTTGAGGCAAGCAAAGCAAGCAACCCTACTTTTCCGACTCCCCCCACCCGCCTGTGTGCTTCAATCCCGCTCCACCATTTCTCCATCGCACCACCGCCATTGCTAGCCACGTCCATCCGGTCCTCCGCCATTTCCTTGCGCCCCGTCTCGCGGGTAGCCTCGTGAGGATCCGTCAAGAGAAGGGAAGTGAACTATGGCGGCTTCGTCGTACTGGCGCGCAGCGGGGATGACGTATCTCGCGTACGCGAATCAGTGCGCTGCGCATCTGCGGGCGTGCCTCAAGGAGCCGCTTAAGTCGCAAGCGATCGCGCGCGAGCAGGTGTACTACAAGGTCGTGCAGTGGAAGGAGGGCGTGCCGGATAAGCCAGGTGCGTACACTTTCAGGCTCGTTGCCTCACGTCGTTTATGCCGACGATCGCCGTAGATTCACTCACCGATCAGCTTCAGGGTATATCCCCAGCCAATATTTCCCGCCACTTTGGCCGAAGCTCCCGCCATTCCTGCCATAGTCCCCCGCGGTTTGCCCTAATGCAGCTGGCGTCCATAGCTGAGCCATAATATCCTGTTCGGAACCTCCATGTACCAAGCCTTGTGACGTGATCCGGCAATAACCTCCCTTCGTGCATGTCCCTCCATGTCCCTGCTGCAGTGATCCGGCAAGTCTCTGAGGCGGTGAAGTCATCATCTGCCTGATCCAAGGCTGCCTGATCCGAGCACCTGTCTTCCCACCCACGACATGGCCTGGAGTTGGCATGACATAAGGGCCGTTGGCTGCTGCTGTGATGCGCTTGTAATGGCGACTCTCATGGGTTCTCAGTGCAGTTCACATGATGTGAAGAGGTGCATGCCGTTTTCACTTTGTTGGAGGGTGGTGGAGGCCTGTTACCAGTAGTTACCCTACCTGTATGTTGATAGACTCACTGAAGACCAGGTTGTATAGTGACACTCCACTCATACTGAGCACTCTTGTCTGGAGGCCACAAAGAATCATGGAGCCCACCAAGCTTCCCAAGGATGTACACTACCCTACCTACGACAATACATGTTGATCAGATGGGTACACCATGTGATGCATGTGTGTGGTCTGTGGTACCTTGAATTTGGCACGTGGATGAGATGCAAAGATGAGCTCACAAGCACAAAATCTGGAAAGTAGCAGTAAGTACCAATAAGATGTCATATACATATAAACAAATACCGTTGAACGGTACACGCAAACTCACGTATGGCTGGATAATAACCAGCTCAACACAAACCAAAGAAATGAAGACTCGCCGAATCAGAGCAGGCTGCGGCAACTCGCCTGCCCCACTCCCTGCAGCATCTTGCCTTCCCCACTCCCCACCCCTCCCTCCAGGGATCTACACATTCAATTGGAGCACCTTTCCTATTGGACACAGTCCCCTTCAATCGAGGCACCTTCCCCCTTCATTTAGCCCACCTCCCCCCTTCGCCCTTCTCCCATTCCCGCTCAGTTGAGACATCTGAGGCTGTACTCTGAGAAGCTGCGAGGAAGCTGCGAGTGCAGCAGCTCGTGATGCTGCAGCAGTGGCGGGGGGTCGGGTGAGAAGCACACCGTCAGCACCGTCACATTGTCACATGCGTGCCGCCGTATCGCCTCCTCCACTAGATCCTGTGACACGGAACAGAGTGGTTGAGTACGGTGTAATGAGTCAGGCAACGAAGTATTCGAGAACAGAGTGAGAATGGCCACGCAGCAGAAATCAGGGTAAGGAATGAGGAATAGCTTTGGAATCTGGAAAAGCTTAAATCTGATCATGAGCGCAGAAGCCGCACCTTGGAGCACTGCTGGGGGTCATTGTGGAGTCTGAGTCGCCTGCGAGCAAAGGCCACCACCTCCTTGCTGCCACCGCCCTCATTGTTGAATGCGTCCCACAGCCCGTCACACGCCAGCACCAGGAACTCGTCCTCAGGGTTCGACAGATGCGCCTCGTGCACCTCCGGATCCGCTATAAGCGGCCCCTCTATAACGTCACTGTCACTGTCGCTGCCTGGGGATGGCAGCGACGCCATTGCTGCAGCAGGGCCTGTACAGGTGGAGCCACTGGCTCTTCTCACAGAAGAATCCGTTTCACTGCTGCCTGCAGCATGACTGCCACCTGCCATATCAGTAGCAACATCTATAGCAGCACCTGTACCACCACTTGTAGCAGCATCTATCGCACCAGCTGCACCAGCGGAATCAGCTGGAGCGGCTGCAGAGGAGCGGCGAGTCTTGAGCCCCTCAATGTGCCAGTCGCCCAGCGCCCTGGTGACAGCCAGCTGGTCGTTCAAATAGTCGTCCACCACCCACCCGCCCGCGCGCTCCACGCGCGCGCGCTCGTGCTGACAGACAGCGCGGTGGTCGCGCGACAGCTCCACCGCCTGCCCCCTGCGGCACAGCACCGCCCTGCAGTCCCCCGCGTTTGCTACGTACAGCGACCTGCAGGTTGAGAGGGGGGGGGGGGGATGAGGGGATGAGGTGATCAGGGATGAGGTGATGCTGCGCTGGAGATGGAAGGTGAGACGCAACGTTAGTGACAACAGAACCGCTTAGACCTCGACTCTTGCTGCAGCAGCACAGTGCAGAGGGCTATGCGTTCACCCTCTACACCCTCTGCACGCGCTACAAACACCGCACCCACTACACCACACCGCACCCACGACATCGTACAGCACGCACTGCACGGCACGCAACCCACAGCACCCTCGCCCATATTCCTCTGCCCTCCCCACCTGCCCAGCAGCAGCACGGTCAGCGCGGTGGTCCCCGAGTCCATGGCGTGCCCCTCCGCCGTGTGCGCCGTCTCCAGCTCGCGGTCCGTCCGCAGGAACGCGTTTCTGAGCGCGCTGCCCACGTGCAGCGGGAACGCCGCGTCGCGCAACACGTGGCCCAGCAGCTTCTGCCGCGCGAACTGCGCCGCTGCGTCGCCGCCGTGGCCGTCGAAGATCTGCGGGAAGAGCGGGACGGTTAAAATGAGACGATGGGACAATTGACGAGACGGGAGGGGAGGTTGAACGACGGATAAGTTGTTCAACCGGAAATGACTATGAAAGCGTTAAATGACAGGAAAAGAGCTCAGTACGACTTAGAAGGAGTTGACGTGCCTACGTGATCTACTCTTAACCGAGCCTCATGCCGAACCGACTCGTGACTCACTCCGTAAAAGGCTCGCGGATGCGCAACCGCCACGTCACCAATAGCCTGTGACAAATCATCTACCGCCACGTGGGCGTCCTCCATCCGCTGCCGGCCGCCTTTATCCGCGCTAAAGCCGGAGCGGACGACCGGCCACGTGGACCCTCCCGACCCTAAAACTGACTGATCTATATGATCCGGTTGCTGAGATTCACCCCCATTCTGCTGCTGTTGCTGCTGCGGATACGGAATCCGCGAGTCTAAGGAAGAGGATGCGATGGGTGGGGTGGGAGGCAGGTGCAGCGTGCAGCTGCTGTGCGTGCGAGCACCGAGCATGCACAGCGTGCCATCCTGCGGGACACGCGGAGAGAAAGGTAGAGAGGGAGGGTAGGAGGGGATTGGAAATTGCGGATAGCGCGATTTCTTCACGGAAATACTAGGCCTCAGCAAAAAAGTTGGCATGACAATGTATTCTTCGCTTGATCGTGGAGAAGGAAGCTATGAAGCTTGAAGATGAAGCTAGAACACCCGACTTACTTCTATTCGAGGCGGTTTCATGGGGTAATTCACCATGACCCAGACTGTCGAGGTTGCACCGTCAGGAGCAGAAAGTCTCTGGCCTGATGAACGTCGAGATAAATAACTAAGCTCTACGAAGGTCAAATCGCTCTAGTAAGTGCAACACCAATCGTCCGACCTAACACAGTATATAATAGAGTGAAGTTGATAATTAGCTCTTAGAAGTCGTTGTGCACACTGGTCAGATTCGTAAACGCGGTTATGCCGTCAGAGCAACACAACTTGCCTCGCCAAAACCGACTCAAATAGAGAACGTTGAGTGGAGGTGACAGGGGTCAGCAAAAAAGAGGAGGTTGCGGCGGGTGCACGCATGTGCTCCCTGACTGAGGTGGTGTGCGCGGCGCAATCAAGGGAGATCGCCACGAAGATCCCTCCCTGGTTCGTTGGGTTGGATGGACGCTGCTCGGCAGCCTCGGGGACCTCGACAGTGTACCCGAAGTAGTTCGGGTGAGGAAGGGGTGTGTGAACGAGTTACGCCAGGTTCGGTGAGGTGAATGGAACAGCTTCGGCGAGGAGCTCATTGACCAAAAGGGTGCGAGGGAAAAGTGACAGGCACGTGGCTTGGTTGTGCCTGACTGACGCTTGGGTTTCGTCTGGTTTGACTTCAAATCACAAATCTTGTTCATGGACGGCTGTGATGACGGGACAGAGATCAGTCGGGGAAGGGATGCGGCGGAGCATCCATGACTACGAACAGACCGACAGCACAGCAAGGGTTGTTACGGGGGTTGTTACGGGAGACTGATGACAGACGTGACCACGGACCACTGGCCAACCAACCAAGTTACAGCTGGAGAAACGGCTCAGCTCAACTCTCCTCCGACCTGCTATGAAACGTGGCAGGGAAAACGAATCCAAGGGCTCTGCATTTGTACATTTGACGGCTTCGATCAGATCTGCGCATCTGGGGCTTGAACTGTAGTTCGCTCGCGGTGGTTGTGTCTGTTCGCTGCTGCAACGCAAGCTCATGGTGGGTTAGGTGGCGAACTGAACAAGAGATTCGCTACAAGATAGCTTCGGAAGCAATTTTGTCTCGTACTACAATATATGAACCTGTCATTTTCTGCAACCGGTGCATCCACAACCGCGGACATCCTTTCCCCTGCGCTTCCTTCCCTCTCCTCACTGCAGCACCTGCCTTTCCTTCATTCCTTCCAAGCGCCTTGTTCCAATTCCGACCATTTGAAGTTCGCAGAACCACGTGCTTATCGGGTTCGCCTAATCAGTAACTAGCCGTTCCTTATTTACCTGGTCGCGCATTGGGTCCGCCGTCATGAATTACCGGTTCAAAAACCTTCTCGGTGCGCCGTACCGAGGAGGTAACATCCTCCTTCGCGAAGACACGAAACTCTATTCGCCAGTTGGTAACCGCGTCAACGTCGTAGACCTGACGGCATCGGAGTCGAACACGCTTCCGTTCCAAACGATGACTGACGTGTCGCTCATCGCGCTATCCCCAGATGGAAACCTTCTAATAGCCGTCGATTCAGATGGACGGTCCAGAATGGTCAACGTGCATCGGCGCGTAGTGCTCCACCTTTTCAGATTCAAATTTCCCGTGGGAGCCCTCAAATTCAGCCCGGACGGAAAATTCTTCGCAGCAGGGGTTGGGCGACAACTCCAAATCTGGCACACGCCTGAAATGCGAAAATCCTTTTCGCCCATGCGACTGTTCAAGTCGTTTTCGGGAGGTTACGACAAGGTCACGGCCATTGATTGGTCCCCCGACGGAAAGTGGATCGTGGCCGCAAACAAGGATCTCACGGCCAGAATTTTCTCCCTGGATTCCCTGAAAATGTACAAACCGGTGCGGCTGACTGGACACAAGGATGTGATTGTAGGCGCGTTCTTCTATGGAGGGGGCTCTGCCATTATGACTGGAGCTGGCCCGAACTTCAAACGCGCGGACGTGGCGCTGGGTTTAAGGGGGGGTTCGGGGGAGCAGGGGGGGCTGGGGGAGGGACCCGGGGGGGCGGAAAAGGCGCTGCGGATATACACGGTGTCGAAAGACGGCGCGCTGTTCTCGTGGTTCTTTGACCCGCTGCACAAGGGGTGGCGCAGGCGGAAGGGGAAGGGGCGCAGGGGGGGCAGGGGGGACCAGGGGGATAAGCGGGTTAAGGTTTATGAGAGGTCTAAGGAGGGGGAAGGTGGGGAGGTGGTAGATGATGCAGGGGAGGATGGGGATAATGAGGAGGGGAATGAAGAGAAGGACGAGGAGGAGGAGGATGAGGAGGAGGAGGAGGAGGAGGAGGAGGAAGGATGTGAAGAAAGAGAAAGGGAAGACGAAGGAAGGAGAAGAAGAGGAGGAGAAGGAGGAGGAGGATGAGGAGGAGGAGGAGGAGGAGGAGGAGGAGGAGGAGGAGGAGGAGGAGGAGGAGGAGGAGGAGGAGGAGGAGGAGGAGGAGGAGGAGGAGGAGGAGGAGGAGGAGGAGGAGGAAGAGGAAGAGGAGGAAGAGGACTGAGGTGGAGGCGGATGGTGAAATGGAAGAGCAAGCAGAGAAGGATGATGAGGAAGAGGAGGATGAGGAGGAGGAGGAGGAGGAGGAGGAGGACAAAGAAGAGGAGGAAGAGGAGGCGGAGGCAGAGGGGGAGGAGGAACAGCCAAGAAAGAAATCACGGCTGGCAGAGAAACCACCCGCACCCCCCCTGTCCGCCGGGACTTCCGATTGGACGAGGGCAAGTGGCGTCTGGAGGCGAAACACTTCTTCATGCTGCCCAAGGCGCGCCTCACCTCCTGCGACCTGCACAAGCCCTCCAATCTCCTCGTCGCCGGCTTCTCCTCGGGCATCTTCGGGCTTTACCAGCTGCCGGAATTCGCCACCCTGCACCTCATGTCCATCTCACGAACCAAAATCTCCTCCGTCTCGTTCAACGAGGCAGGGGACTGGGTGGCAGTGGGCTGTGCACGCCTGGGGCAGCTGCTCGTGTGGGAGTGGCGCTCAGAGACCTATGTGATGAAGGTGCAGGGCCATTTCTATGATGTCAGCTGTGTGGCTTTCTCTCCGGATGGCACGCGTGTGGTAACCGGGTCAGACGATGCCAAGGTGAAGGTCTGGAGCCTTGCGTCGGGGTTCTGCTTTGTAACGCTCGCGGAGCACACCGGTCCGGTTACCGCCGTCGCCTTTCTCCCATCCGGCGGCGCAGGGTCGGCGGCGGCGGCCGCAGCGGGCGGCGGCGGGGGCGGCGGGGCTGTGGTGAGCGCGTCGCTGGACGGCACGGTGCGGGCGTTTGACCTGCTGCGGTACCGCTGCTTCCGCACACTCACCACGCCGCAGCCCGTGCAGTTTGCGTCGCTGGCCGTGCACCCGTCAGGCGAGGTGGTGTGTGCGGCGAGCCAGGACGACTTCCAGGTGTACGTGTGGAGCATGCGCACCGGGCGACTGCTGGACGTCTTATCGGGGCATGAAGGCCCAGTGCATAGCCTCGCCTTCTCGCCCACCCAGGTGAGCAGGGCGGGCAGTCAGTCAGTGTGGGGTGGTGTGTGCGGCGAGCCAGGACGACTTCCAGGTGTACGTGTGGAGCATGCGCACAGGGCGACTGCTGGACGTCGGGGCATGAGGGGCCTGTTCACAGCCTCTCGTTCTCTCCCACGCAGGTGAGCAGAGTGGTCACCTAGTCACTGTGAGGTGGAGCATGCGGCTGCTAGACGTCCTATCGGGGCATGAGGGGCCTGTGCATAATCTAGCCGTTTCGCCCACCCCAGGTGAGCAGATCGCATTGAGAGAGGCTAGTTGTGGGTGTGTGGAGCCGGCATGCGCACAGCGGCTTCTGGAAGCATTATCGGAGGGCTTGAAGCATGTGGGGGCCGTGCACAGCCTCACCTTCTCGCCCTCTCCTCCCTCATCCCGCGGCCCCTCCCCATTCCACAACAGGAACTCCTGGCATCAGCAGCGTGGGACAGCACTTGTCGGCTGTGGGACGTGTTCGAAGCCAAGGGCGGAACAGAGCCCCTCCCGCACTCGCACGAGGTGCTCGCCCTCGCCTTCCGCCCGGACGGCCGCCAGCTGGCAACTGCCACGCTGGACGGCCACATCCACCTGTGGGACCCGCTGGAGGGCGAGCTGCAGGGGAGCATCGAGGGGCGGCGGGATTTGGTCGGCGGGGCGGCGGCGGCGGGCGGCAAGGGCGGCAAGGCTGGGCGGGGCGCGCTGCGGCTGGGGGATAAGAGCTTTCGGAGTCTGTGTTACTCGGCGGATGGGTGCTTCTTGCTGGCTGCTGGGACGAGTCGATACGTTTGTCTCTATGACGTGGCTGAGATGGTGAGTGCGTGGTGCTGCGCCCTTGTCGTTTCCTCATGGATTCTTCAGCCACCTCTGCATGACTGAGTCTCTCCCCGTGCCTGTCCCCTTCCACCTTCCTGCTTCTACCAACACCTACCTGCTCTCTTCTCACCCCCACCCGCCTGCCCACCCCCTCCTACTCTCGCTCCTTTACTCCCACGCTCTTCTCTCTCCAGCTGCTGCTGCGGCGCTACCTTATAACGAGCAACAAGTCGCTGTCAGGCGCAATGGACTCCCTCAACCCGCACCGCATGACGGACGCGGGCCCGCTCGACATCCTTGATATAAGCGACTCCGATGTGGACGACAACGATCTCGACGACTCGCACCGCCAGCGCCGCCACACGCTCCTCGGCTCCGACCTCCCCGGGGCGGCGAGAAACGGCAGCCAGCGCCGCCCGGAGATCCGCGTGAAGGCGATCCAATTCTCGCCGACCGGGCAGTCCTGGGCGGCAGCAACAACCGAAGGGCTCGTGGTGTTTGGGTTAGATGAAGGGGTTGTGTTCGATCCATCGGATCTAGACATGGATGTTACACCTGCGGCTGTAGCGGCTGCTACAACCGCTGGGCTGCACGCGAGGGCGATACAGATGGCGCTGCGGCTGAATGAGACGAAGCTGCTACAGGACGCGATGATGGCAGTGCCGCTCGAGCGGCTGGGTGGTACAGTGTCGGCGCTGCCGAAGAAGCGGCTGGGGAAGGTGGTTGCAGCCATGGCAGCAATGCTGGAAGGAAGGCCTGAATTGGAATTCGTGCTGCTGTGGTGCAAGGTGAGAGGGGAGCGGTTTGAAGAGTGCACAAGGAGGAGGGGAGTGGTTGAGGCAGTGGCAATGGGAGTGGACGAGTGAAAGGGGATGGAAGGGAGGGACGTTGACACATGCTGACCTCCTCCCTCAAGCTGGCACTTCTCTTGACTCACATGTTGTTACCGCAGCAAGACATTCGTGGTGCCGTCCGTCACATGCTGTCTCTCATTCCCCACTCCTTCACACCCTCACATCCCCCCTCCCTCCCTCCCTCCCCCCTCCCCTCTCCCACACTGCAGGAGCTGGTGCTGCAACACGGCAAGGCTCTCGCCCTGCTGCCCGGCACGCCGGGGCGGGCGGCGCTGCGGCCGCCCATGCAAGCGCTGTCACGGGCGCTTACTCAGATGCACGATGACCTGGCGCTCTCCGCCTCGTCCAATCAGCACCTCCTGCAGTACCTCGACTCGCTGCCCGCTTCCCCCGTTGCCACCACGACTATGTGATGCCATGCTGCTGACGTGGTACCGTATTCTCCCGGACAAAACACCCCCCCATAATAGTACACCCCGGGTAGCTTGTGCGGGGTGGGTGCTATAACCGACCTCGTTTGTACTATACCCCCCCTTTTGGGGTGATTCTCTATAACACCCCCCTTTTCTTACAGATTCCTATTATAGCTGTTATCGAGTCGGATTCCTTACGGGAGAATATCGCGAGAATCGCTTCCTAGGTGAAATTTCGCGTGTACTTTCACTTAGAATCTGCCGACATTTCCCCCCTCCCACAATCTCGTTGTCGCCATCCTGGCGAATCTTTCGCTGCAAGTAGACATTTCACCCCTCCCACGATCTCGCTGTCGCCACGCTGGCGAATCTTCCGCTGCAAGTGGCGCGAGAGGTGAAATTCACATTCTCGCCTCAAACTGTGATGTTAAAACGACCATTGAAACACCCAAACTGTCTAACCAAAAAAATACTCTTACATTAAAATATGCCATATATAACCACCCGGGTATTATATAGGATTTTCCGTTGAGAGGACCCCCCCCCCTTTTTTCCCCGTGGTTATCATAATACCCACGGGTGTTATGTCCGGGAGAATACGGTATGCTGCTGATGTTGCTGGTACTCCCTCAGTGTTAGTTGAGACCATCATCACCCAAAAACTCAGTCATGTAAAGACATCGTATGCTGACTTTTGACAAAACAACTTCGGCACAGGCAGTCACACACAATGGGTGCTCACTTTCACCAAGCATGTACGGTATACAGCCTCAACTGGCTGAGGAAAGCCCAACCACACACAAGGCTATAAACTACTATAGCTTCCAGCCAAGATTGAAATACACAAACTGCACTCCTTGCGCTGCCCCATTGCCACCCAACGAACCATCACCCTGCTTAGCCTCTCAACCCTACCACTCTGCCTCAGCCCGTCACAATTTTGCTCTGAAGTCGGTGACTGAAACTCCTCAGCCACGTTCTGGCAGAACTGGGCGGCCTCGTCCGACTCCACTGAGGGAGCCACGAGGGGCACGAGCGATTGTAACCGTGTAACAGTCGCACGATGTGCCTCCACCTCTACCTTTATGGCGTGCAACTGCGCCATTGCCTCCTTGCTGTCCGCCTCTGTCTCCCCGACTACCTGCTCCAATGCCCTGTTGGCTTGTGTGGCTGCATCCAGCTGGGCAGAGAAAGTGTTGATCTGCTAGAACGAGGAGAGATGGGTGGGAAAGGAGGAAAAACAGGAAGGAGGAGCGAATTTTGCCTGCCTCGGTGCTCCCCTGTCCTCTAGTGCCCTGCTCGCCTGTGTGGCTGCGTCCAGCTGCGCAAAGAGGGTGTTGATTTGTCAGGGAAAGAAGAGGGATGGTATGAAACAACTCTGAATGTCTCCGTAGATTCATTGCCCCAATGGCCTCTCCTTAAGACGTCTCACACAGAGGGATGGAGGGATAGAAGGAGCATGCCGACACGGGAAAAATGAAAGGCAGCTGCAAGCCAAGAGTGCTGCAAGCCTGTGCTGCCTCTTCGTTGGAACCTCCATCTGAAAAACAAAACGGCTTAACAAGCAGCAAGAGAATTGGTGTGCCTGCTCTACAGCAGCACGATAGAATGGCAGGATCCAATGCCGCGGGCCAATCAAATGATCCGTTGGGCACCCTGGTCAGTATGGGCGCCTGTAATGAGCATACCAGGCAGAGTTCGGGCGCTCAAATCATGCAAACAACGCGAAATGCAACGGAGCCACTCGTTGTGGATGTGCAAAACAGTCTAATCCAGTAGACTAGCACGAAAAAAGACGCATCCAATGCCGCGGGCCAATCAAAGTGATGCGTGGGGCACCCTGGTCCAGGGGCAGTTTTTCAAGGGTGATTTGCCCTGATTCCCCTTTCTGAAAGCCGTTTTTTTACGTTCACCCTGATTTTGTAAGGCCAGCTGTTTTGCAACCCTTTCCGAAAAAAGTGTAGCAATTTTTACACCCTGTATTAGACAGGGTTGGTGTTTTGTTACACTTTCCAGTCAGTGCTGGTTGAAAAGTACCCTTTTACCGAATCCTTGTTCTGTAGTTTCTCGCGCAACTGTTCTCAGAACAAGGCTTTCCGCCCACTTACCACCTGTGCTGTCCAGGTGGACGGTTTTGTTTTTTCTTGCTGGCTTTCCCATTCGAACTGGCGGCAGCTTTGGCTGCTAGCACTTTGTTGTCTTGTTGCACTTGAACGTGCCTGCCTGCCTGTGGCTCCTCCTGCCTCATGCACGCCATCTGTGTTGCATTGTGAGGGACTTCGTATGCTTCTTGAAAGGCAGTTTTAATCGTCTCAGGTCATTCACCTCTGTTCCACACACACCTGTAACTCACATCACGCGTAGAACTCAAGAACTCGAAAACTCACGTGTGGAACTCGAGACGAGGATGACGAAAACGCGCTATTAGTCCAGAAGTTATAGTATGGCCATAACAGTGCACGCTACACCCTGAACAAGGTACTTTGGCAAATTTCTAGAAAGCACCCTTACACAATCAGTGTGCGAAAAAAATTACCCTTCTGTGGACAGGGTGGAGGGAAAACCATCCTGGCGGAGAAACAACTCTGAATGTCAAGTATTAGGAGCAAAATTGTGAAAACAAGCATTAGGTGAAAGCAGAATTATAAGAACAAGTGTAAGGTGAAAGCAAAATTGGGAGAACAAGTGTCTGGTGAAAGCAAAACTGCAAGAACAAGGGTCAGGTGAAAGCAAAAGTGTGAGAACAAGGGTCTGGTGAAAGCAAAATTGTGAGAACAAGCGTCAGGTGAAAGCAAAAGTCTGAGAACAAGCGTCAGGTGAAAGCAAAAGTGCAAGAACAAGGGCCATGTGGAAGCAAAATTGCGAGAACAAGTGTCAGGTGAAAGCAAAATTGTGAGAACAAGTGTCAGGTGAAAGAAAAATTGTGAGAACCAGTGTGAGGTGAAAGCAAAATTGTGAGAACAAGAGTCAGGTGAAAGCAAAGGTGTGAGAACAAGTGTCACGTGAAAGCAAAATTGGGGAAACAAGCGTCAGGTGAAAGCAAAATTGCGAGAACAAGGGTCAGGTGAAAGCTAAAGTGTGAGAACAACGGTCAAGTTAAAGCAAAATTGTGAGAATATGTGTCAGGTGAAAGCAAAATTGCGAGGACAAGGGTTAGGTGAAAGCAAAATTGCGAGAACAAGCGTTAGGTGAAAGAAAAATTACGAGAACAAGTGTCAGGTGAAAGCAAAATTGCGAGAACAAGTGTCAAGTAAAAGCAGAATTGTGAGAACAAGTATCAGGAGAAAGCAAAATTGCGAGAATAAGCGCTAGATGAAAGCAAAAGTGTGAGAACAAGTGTCAGGTGAAAGCAAAATTACAAGAACAAGGGTCATGTGTAAGCAAAATTGCGAGAACAAGTGTCAGGTGAAAGCAAAATTGTGAGAACAAGTGTCAGGTGAGAGCAAAATTGTGAGAATAGGTGTGAGGTGAAAGCACAATTGTGAGAACAAGAGTCAGGTGAAAGTTCTCGCTTCACTACCTGGCACTTTCCAGCATAATCGCAGGTCCGTGAACTCACGAATGACGTCTTCATGTTGAAAAAAAACACTCGTTTCCGGCGTTTATAGCCCCAAGACGCGAAAACAGTCGCACCGGTACAGGTCATGGAGCAGGCAAGTTTCCGTCGTGGAGCTCCGTGACCAATCGTTCTCGCTTCACTCCCGGGCACTTTCCAGCATAATCGCAGGTTTGTGAACTCGCGAATAACGTGTTTACGTTGAAGAAAAACGCTGGTTTCGGGCGTTTACAGCCCCGAGATGCGAAAACAGCCGCACCGGTACAGGTCATGGAGTAGGCAAAGTTTCCGTCGTGGAGCTCCGTGACCAATCGTTCTCGCTTCACTCCCAAGAACCATTCCAGCATAATTTCAGGTCCGTGAACTCACAAATGGCGTGTTCACGTTGAAGAATAACGCTCGTTTCAAGCGCTTGTAGACCCGTGACGCAAAAACAGTCGCGCCGATTCAGGTCGTGGAGCAGGCAATTTCCCGTCGCGGAGCTCCGTGACCAATTGTTCTTGCTTCATTACCGGACACTTTCCAGCATAATTGCAGGTCCGTGAACTCACGAATGACGTCTTCACGTTGAAGAAAAACGCTCGTTTCATGCGCTTGTAGCTCCGAGACGCCAAAACAGCCGTGCCGATTCAGGTCATGGAGCAGGCAATTTTCCGTCCTGGAGCTCCGTGACCAATCGTTCTCGCTTCACTCCCAGGCACTTTCCAGCATAATCGCAGGTCCGTGAACTCACGAATGACGTCTTCATGTTGAAGAAAAACGCTCGTTTCGGGCGTTTGTAGCCCCGAGACGCGAAAACAGCCGCACCAGTACATGTCATGGAGCAGGCAAGTTTCCGTCGTGGAGCTCCGTGACCAATCGTTCTCGCTTCACTCCCGGGCACTTTCCAGCATAATCGCAGGTTTGTGAACTCGCGAATAACGTGTTTACATTGAAGAAAAACGCTGGTTTCGGGCGTTTACAGCCCCGAGATGCGAAAACAGCCGCACCGGTACAGGTCATGGAGTAGGCAAAGTTTCCGTCGTGGAGCTCCGTGACCAATCGTTCTCGCTTCACTCCCAAGAACATTCCAGCATACTTGCAGGTCTGTGAAATCACAAATGGCGTGATCACGTTGAAGAAAAACGCTCGTTTCAGGCGCTTGTAGACCCGAGACGCGAAAACAGCCGCTCCGGTACAGTCGTGGAGCAGGCAATTTTCCGTCGTGGAGCTCCGTGACCAATCGTTCTCGCTTCACTCCCAGGCACTTTCCAGCATAATCGCAGGTCTGTAAACTCACGAATGACGTCTTCACGTTGAAGAAAAATGCTCGTTTCTAGCGTTTGTAGCCCCGAAACGCGAAAACAGCCGCACCGATACAGGTCATGGAGCAGGCAATTTTCCGTCGTGGAGCTCCGTGACCAATCGTTCTCGCTTCACTCCCAGGCACTTTCCAGCATAATCGCAGGTCCGTGAACTCACGAATGACGTCTTCATGTTGAAGAAAAACGCTCGTTTCGGGCGTTTGTAGCCCCGAGACGCGAAAACAGCCGCACCGGTACAGGTCATGGAGCAGGCAATTTTCCGTCGTGGAGCTCCATGACCAATCGTTCTCGCTTCACTCCCGGGCACTTTCCAGCATAATAGCAGGTTTGTGAACTCGTGAATAACGTGTTTACGTTGAAGAAAAACGCTGGTTTCGGGCGTTTACAGCCCCGAGATGCGAAAACAGCCGCATCGGTACAGGTCATGGAGTAGGCAAAGTTTCCGTCGTGGAGCTCCGTGACCAATCGTTCTCGCTTCACTCCAACAACATTCCAGCATAATTGCAGGTCCGTGAACTCACAAATGTCGTGTTCACGTTGAATAAAAACGCTTATTTCAAGCGCTTGTAGATCCGAGACGCGAAAACAGCCGCACCGATACAGGTCATGGAGCAGGCAATTTTCCGTCGTGGAGCTCCGTGACCAATCGTTCTCGCTTCACTCCCAGGCACTTTCCAACATAATCGCAGGTCCGTGAAATCACGAATGACGTCTTCATGTTGAAGAAAAACGCTCGTTTCGGGCGTTTGTAGCCCCGAGACGCGAAAACAGCCGCACCGGTACAGGTCATGGAGCAAGCAAGTTTCCGCCGTGGAGCTCCGTGACCAATCGTTCTCAACTCACTCCCGAGCACTTCCCAGCATAATCGCAGGTTTGTGAACTCGCGAATAACGTGTTTACATTGAAGAAAAACGCTGGTTTCGGGCGTTTACAGCCCCGAGATGCGAAAACAGCCGCACCGGTACAGGTCATGGAGCAGGCAATTTTCCGTCGTGGAGCTCCGTGACCAATCGTTCTCGCTTCACTCCAAGAACATTCCAGCATAATTGCAGGTCCGTGAACTCACAAATGGCGTGATCACGTTGAAGAAAAACGCTCGTTTCAGGCGCTTGTAGACCCGAGACGCGAAAACAGCCGCACCGGTACAGGTCATGGAGCAGGCAATTTTCCGTCGTGGAGCTCCGTGACCAATCGTTCTCGCTTCACTCTCGGGCTCTTTCTTGCATAATTGCAGGTCCGTGAACTAACAAATGACGTCTTCATGTTGAAGAAAAACGCTCGTTTCGGGCGTTTGTAGCCCCGAGACGCGAAAACAATAGCGCCGATACAGATCATGGAGAAGGCAAGTTTCTGTCGTGGAGCTTCGTGACCAATCGTTCTCGCTGCACATTCGGGCACTTTCCAGCATAATCGCAGGTCCGTGAACTCACGAATGACATGTTTACGTTGAAGAAAAACGCTGGTTTTGGGCATTTGTAGCAACGAGACGCGAAAACAGGCGCACCGGTACAGGTCACGGAGTAGGCAAAGTTTCCGTCGTGGAGCTCCGTGACCAATTGTTCTCACTTCACTCCCATGAACTTTCCAGCATAATTGCAGGTCCGTGAACTCATAAGTGGCATGTTCACGTTGAAAAAAAACGCTCGTTTCATGCGTTTGTAGCCCCAAGATGCGAAAACAGCCGCACCGGTACAGGTCATGGAGCAGGCAATTTTCCGTCGTAGAGCTCCATGACCAATCATTCTCGCTTCACTCTTGGGCACTTTCGAGCATAATCGCAGGTCCGTGAACTCACAAATGGCATGTTCACGTGGAAGAAAAACGCTCGTTTCAGGCGTTTGTAGCCCCGAGACGCGAAAACAGTCGTGCCGATACAGGTCATGGAGCAGGCAATTTTCCGTCGTGGAGCTCGGGGACCAATCATTCTCGCTTCACTCTCGGGCACTTTCCAGCATAATCGCAGGTCCGTGAACTCACGAATGACGTCTTTACGTTGCAGAAAAATGCTGGTTTCGGGCGTTTGTAGCCCCGAGACGCGAAAACAGCCGCACCGGTACAGATCATGGAGTAGGCAAAGTTTCCGTCGTGGAGCTACATGACCAATCGTTCTCGCTTCACTCCCATGAACTTTCTAGCACAATTGCAGGTCCATGCACTCACAAATGGCGTGTTCACGTTGAAGAAAACGCTCAGTTTAGGCGTTTGTAGCCCCGAGACGCGAAAACAACCGCATTGGTACAGGTCATGGAGTAGGCAATTTTCCGTCGTGGAGCTCCGTGACCAATCGTTCTCGCTTCACTCCCAGGCACTTTCAAGCATAATTGCAGGCCCGTGAACTCATAAATGGCGTGTTCACGTTGAAGAAAAACGCTCGTTTCAGGCGTTTGTAGCCCCGAGACGCGAAAACTGCCGCAGCGGTACAGGTCATGGAGTAGGCAAGTTCCGGTCGTGGAGCTCCGTGACCAATTGTTCTCGCTTCACTCCCAAGAACTTTCCAGCATAATTGAAGGTCCTTGAACTCACTGATGACGTTTTCACGTTGAAGAAAAATGCTCGTTTCGGGCGTCCGAGACGCGAAAACAGCCACACCGATACATGTGATGGAGCAGACAATTTTCCGTCGTGGAGCTTCGCTACCAATCGTTCTCGCTTCACTCCTGGGCACTTTCCAGCATCATTGCAGGTCCGTGAAATTACGAATGACGTCTTCACGTTGAAGAAAAATGCTCGTTTCGGGCGTTTGTAGCCCCGAGACGCGAAAACAGCCGCACCGGTACAGGTCATGGAGCAGGCAATTTTCCGTCGTGGAGCTCCGTGACCAATCGTTCTCGCTTCACTCCCAGGCACTTTCCAGCATAATCGCAGGTCCGTGAACTCACAAATGACGTCTTTACGTTGAAGAAAAAACCTCACTCGTTTCGGGCGTTTGTAGCCCCGAGACGCGAAAACAACCGCACCGGTACAGGTCATGGAGTAGGCAAGTTCCGGTCGTGGAGCTCCGTGACCAATTTGTTCTCACTTCACTCCCAAGAACTTTCCAGCATATTTGAAGGTCCGTAAACTCACAGATGACGTTTTCACGTTGAAGAAAAATGCTCGTTTCGGGCGTTTGTAGCCCCGAGACGCGAAAACAGCCGCACCGATACAGGTCATGGAGCAGACAATTTTCCGTCGTGGAGCTCCCCTCGTTACCAATCGTTCTCGCTTCACTCCTGGGCACTTTCCAGCATCATTGCAGGTCCGTGAACTCACGAATGACGTCTTCACGTTGAAGAAAAACGCTCGTTTCGGGCGTTTGTAGCCCCGAGACGCGAAAACAGCCGCACCGATACAGGTCATGGAGCAGGCAATTTTCCGTCGTGGAGCTCCGTGACCAATCGTTCTCGCTTCACTCTCTAGGACTTTCCAAAGTAATCGCAGGTCCGTGAACTCATGAATGACGTCTTCGCGTGGAAGAAAAACGCTCGTTTTGGGCATTTGTAACCCCGAGACGGGAAAACAGCCGCGCCGATACAGGTCATGGAGCATGCAATTTTCCGTCGTGGAGCTCCGTGACCAATCGTTCTCGCTTCACTCCCAGGCACTTTCCAGCATAATCGCAGGTCCGTGAACTCACGAATGACGTCTTCACGTTGAAGAAAAATGCTCGTTTAGGGAGTTTATAGCCCCGAGACGCGAAAACGGCCGCACCGATACAGGTCATAGAGCAGGCAATTTTCCGTCGTGGAGCTCCGTGACCAATCGTTCTCGCTTCACTCCCAGACACTTTCCAGCATAATTGCATGTCTGTCATCTCACGAATGACGTCTTCATGTTGAAGAAAAACGCTCGTTTCCGATGTTTATATCCCGGAGACGCGAAAACAGCCGCACCGGTACAGGTCATGGAGCAGGCAAGATTCCGTCGTGGAGCTTGTCAGAATATTATGCTCTAGCCTGCAGTGGGGTACTCTATAGCGAGTACAACCCAATTAGGGTTTCCTATATGTATGCCAACTGCTGCTAGTGCAAACCCTCCTTTCTTCATTCTTACTTTCTACAGCTAGTTCTGACATGCTATCAGAGCAGGTCGACCCTCCTGGGTCGATCCTGTGGGTGGGCCCACCACCTAAGCCTTCCGCTGCTACTGCTACTGCTACTGCTACTCTGTGTGTCGCACGCCTCGTGGCGTGCGACGGATTTTTCATCCCGCCGTGCGCCCCGAGGTGTGCGGCGGTTTTCTGCCCGCCGTGCGCCCCGAGGCGCGCGGCGGTTCTCTGCCCGCCGTGCGCCCCGAGGCGCGCGGCGGTTTTCTCCCCCCGTCGCCCGCCGAAGCGCCCCCGGGGACCCGCGCGTCGCCCCCGTCGCCCGTGCGCGGCCCGTACTGCACGAGCGCGGCCCGTACAGGCTGCGCCAGGCCCGCGCGCGGCCTGTCCTGCACGCGCGCGGCCCGTACGGGCTGCGCCAGGCCTGCGCGCGGCCCGTACAACCCGCGCGCTGCTCGTACGGGCTGCGCCAGGCCCGCGCGCGGCCCGTACGGCCTGCGCCAGGCCCGCGCGCGGCCCGTACGGGCTGCGCCTGGCCCGCGCGCGCCTCGGGCCGCCTGCGCGCGGTTCGTACGGGCTGCGCCTGGCCCGCGGGCGCCCGGTCTCCTCTCCCACTGAGCTGCACGCCGTCCCTCGCGCTTCTGACGGCGCCCCACCCCTGCTGCTGCCCGTACTCCTGAATTAGGGTTTGGGGGTGGAGCGTATGGGGGTGCCGTCTCTGTCAGCCGTCCCCTGCTCCTCCTCCTCCTCCGTCTCCCACTGCTGCAGCTGCTGCTCAGGGGGGTGGGTGTGTGGGAGCCGAGGGTTTAGGGTTTAAGGGGGGTGCCATGGGAGTGGAGCTAGGGTTTCAGCAGGGGGTGTGTGTTGGGGGGTGTGGGACAGTTGGAGGAGGTTGGGTGGAGGCAGCCGTCGTGTCGTCTGCAGCGCCTGTATTCCGGGGTTCTGATAGCCACCGGTAGCTCAGAGAGCCGGTTGCACCTGTCGCCCGTGGGTCCGTTGCTCCTGTCGCTGCTGATCAGACGCAGAGCCTGTTACTCCTGTATTCCGGGGCCCTTGCTCCCGGTAGCCACTAGAGTTGCACCAGAGCCGTCTGTTGCCCGTGTGTCTGCAGCTTCAGTCGTCGCCTCCACTCTTCTCTCCTCTCGCCAGCCCTCCTCCTCCTCACTTGCCCTCTGTAACTGCCTCTAGCTTTGCTCATAATTGTGCACTTTAAACTATTGCTTCTTAAACTTGTGCTCAGAATGTGTGGTGACATTGTGATCCACCCTGAGCTTGTACTGCTTTGCTTTCTCTGCTGATTACACCCCACTTTGGCTATGGGGGTGTGTCAGAATATTATGCTCTAGCCTGCAGTGGGGTACTCTATAGCGAGTACAACCCAATTAGGGTTTCCTATATGTATGCCAACTGCTGCTAGTGCAAACCCTCCTTTCTTCATTCTTACTTTCTACAGCTAGTTCTGACAGAGCTCCGTAACCAATCGTTCTTGCTTCAGTCCCAAAAACTTTCCAGCATAATTGCAGGTCCGTGAACTCACGAATGACGTCTTCACGTTGAAGAAAAACGCTCGTTTCAGGCGTTTGTAGCCCCGAGACGCGAAAACAGCCGCACCGATACAGGTCATGGAGCAGGCAATTTTCCGTCGTGGAGTTCCGTGACTTATCGTTCTCGCTTCACTCCCGGGCACTTTCCAGCATAATCGCAGGTCTGTAAACTCACGAATGACGTCGTCTCGATGAAGAAAAACGATCTTTTCGTGCGTATAATGCCCGAAGTCGCGAAAACAGCCGTACAGTACAGGTCATGGAGCAGGCAATTTTCCGTCGTGGAGCTTTGTGACCAATCGTTCTCGCTTCACTCCCGGGCACTTTCCAGCATAATCGCAGGTCCGTGAACTCACAAATGACGTCTTTACGTTGAAGAAAAACGCTCGTTTCAGGCGTTTGTAGCCCCGAGACGCGAAAACAGCTGCGCCAATACAGGTCATGGAGCAGGCAAGTTTCCTTCGAGGAGCTCCGTGACCTATCATTCTCGATTCACTCCCGGACAACTCACAATAATGGAAGGTCCGTCAACTCACGAAGAAAAATGCTTGTTTCGGGAGTTTGTAGCCCCGAGACGAGAAAACAGCCGCACCGGTTCAGGTCATGGAGCAGGCAAGTTTCCGTCGTGGAGCTCCGTGACCAATCGTTCTCGCTTCACTCCCCGAAACTTTCCAGCATAATTGTAGGTCTGTGAACTCACAAACGACGTTTTCACATTGAAGAAAAATGCTCGTTTCGGGCGTTAATAGCCCCGACACACGAAAACAGCCGCGCCGGTACAGGTCATGGAGGAGGCAATTTTCCGTCGTGGAGCTCCGTGACCAATCGTTCTCGCTTCACTCCCAGGCACTTTCCAGCATAATCCTAGGTCCGTTAACTCACAAATGACGTCTTTACACTGAAGAAAAACGCTCGTTTCGGGCGTTTGTAGTTCCGAGATGCGAAAACAGCCGCACCGGTACAGGTCATGGAGCAGGCAAGTTTCCGTCGTGGAGCTCCGTGACCAATTGTTCTCGCTTCACTCCCGGGCACTTTCCAGCATAATCGCAGGTCTGTAAACTAACAAATGATGTCTTTACGTTGAAAAAAAATGCTCTTTTCCAGCGTTTGTAGCCCCAAGACGCGAAAACAGCCGCACCGATGCAGGTTATAGAGCAGGCAATTTTCCATCAAGGAGCTCCGTGACCAATCGTTCTCGCTTCACTCCCAGGCACTTTCCAGCATTTTGAATCGTAGATTTGTAAACCCACGAATGACGTCTTCATGTTGAAGAAAAACAGCCGTTTCATGCGTTTGTAGCCCCGAGACGCAAAAACAGCCGCACCGATACAGGTCATGGAGCAGGCAATTTTCTGTCGTGGAGCTCCGTGACCAATCGTTCTCGCTTCACTCTTGGGCACTTTCCAGCATAATCTCAGGTCCGTGAACTCACAAGTGACGTCTTTACATTGAAGAAAAGCGCTCGTTTCAGGCGTTAGTAGCCCCGAGACGCAAGAACAGCCGCACCGGTATAGGTCATGGAGTAGGCAAGTTTCCGTCGTGGAGCTCCATGACCAATCGTTCTCGCTTCACTCCCAGGAACTTTCCAGCATAATTGCAGGTTTGTGAACTCACAAATGGCGTGTCCACATTGAAGAAAAACGCTCGTTTCGGACGTTTGTAGCCCCGAGACGCGAAAACAGCCGCACCGATACAGTGCATGGAGCAGACAATTTTCCGTCGTGGAGCTCCGTGACCAATCGTTCTCTCTTCTCTCCCGGGCACTTTCCAGCATAATCGCAGGTCCGTGAACTCACAAATTAAGTCTTCACGATAAACAAATATGCTCATTTAAGACGTTTGTAGTCTCGAGACGCGAAAACAGCCGCACCGGTACAGGTCATAAAGCAGGCAATTTTCCGTCGTGGAGTTCCGTGACCAATTCTTCTCGCTTTGCAGAGATAATTAGTGCAACGAGAGCTAGACTACGGGCTAGGCACGGGGCAAGAGTGACTGTAGCGTCCCTTCATTCCTTAGTCGTTTCCAAGTGCTCACACTGCTTGCTAGTTCACGGGGAAAATTGGCAAGAGTTTCACTAGGAAAACATGACAACAAAAGTTCAGAATGATTGCATCAACATTGGCAATACATACTACATCAGACCTAGCAAGGCTGCTGGTCGACTGCCAGCGCAGCACGGTCGACCGCGTGCCAGCACAACTTGGTCGACCGCGCTCCAGCAGAGCAGAGTCGCGGCTTGCCAACGTTGCAAGTCCGCGGTGTGCCAACGCTGCAGCAAGTCGGCTGCACAGCGTTGCACCCGCCTGACAACGATGCACTAGCTTCGCAGGTGCGTGCAGCTGGTTGGTGCCCAACGCCCCGTCACACGCCCAGTGCAGACACTCCACCCGTGACGGCGCCCACCAGCCACGTCGACCTCGGGATACCACCCTCGAGGTCGTCCTCGCAGAAACCACCCCCGGCGACCTTCGCACACGTCGCCCGGGTATCCTGGTCGACCGGGTATCCAGTCGTCCACCCGCGGCCACAGCGGTCCCCACGGTCCCGTGGTCCCGCGGTTGTCTCCCGCGGCTTCCCGTGGCCCCCGCGGTTCCGTGGTTGCCCCACCGCCTCCCGCGGCCCTGCGGCCTCCCGCGGCCCTGCGGTCTCCCGCGGCTTCCCGCGGCCTCCAGCATCCCCGCGGTCTCCTGCGGCCTCCCGCGGCCTCCCGCATCCCCGCAGTCTCCCGCGGCCTCCCGCGGCCCCGCAGTCTCCCGCGGCCTCCCGCGGCCTCCCCCGGCCCCGCGGTCTCCCGCGGCCTCCCACGGCCTCCCGCGGCCCCGCGGTCTCCCGCGGCCTCCCGCGGCCTCCCTTGGCCCCGCGGTCTCCCGCGGCCTCCCGCAGCCCCGCGGTCTCCCGCGGCCTCCCACGACCCCGCAGTCCCCTACGGCCTCCCGCGGCCTCCCGCGGCCCCGCGGTCCCCCGCGGCCTCCCGCGGCCTCCCGCGGCCCCGCGGTCTCCCGCGGCCCCGCGCGGCCTCCCGCAGTCTGCTCCGCCCAAGCGAGGACGGGGCCAAACACTACTCCCGTTGACACTCCCCTGCCGCGTTCACGCTTGGCGCCCCCCTAGCCCACACGGCAGCACTTTTTGGAGAATAGCCCGTCGGCGTGCACACAACGCACAGCACGCCGGTCACCGCACCAGCCATGCAAGAGGGCATGGCACCTACTG